CTGTGAACACAGCGCTATTCGCATCTGCTTGGTCTTTATGGGCATTGGCGTTTGTTATCCCTCAAGATTGTATATATATTTTTCATATTATATCGTACTCTATAAATAACATTTATTAATTGCAATTGTATTCACAAAATATGATATGAATAAGATAAAAAATAAGCAATATATATGGTATATTCTGAGTAACAAGCGACAACGTGCAATGTTTTCTCTGGGAGTACATCGAAATTTAGTAATAAAACAAAAATGATATTTGAAACGTCCTATTGTAAATGTCCATGTCAGGTTGGACGAATGAATGAGTAGCTAGTAAAAGCAAACGGACGTCATGAACTAACGTCATCAAGGCACATATCTTACAGTAAGACGAACCTCATAATGCATATATAAGTCATGATCATCTTCAGAATAATGTTTTATCATCTATTCATTGCACGTGTTCATTAATTAACATTTTATAATCACAATATTTATCATAACACTTAAGATAAGACTGACGATGTCATATTCAGCAAAACTTCTCTGGGATCCAAAATTGCCCCAGTTGGTAGTATTTTACAGTATCTTTATCAAGTGGCATTATTAATTTATGTTCAACGTATAGCAATACTAGAATTGAATAAGCTACTGTATATTTTGATAAAGCTCCTCTTCAAATCCTGTTAGGTATCTGAAACGTCACTTTACATGCTTCAATGTAACCAAAGAGAAATGTGGTTTATCAGTGTTTAACACAAAGAACATGTTCTAACGAACCTTGCCCTACTGACAACCAACCGAACTAGAGAATTCTATAGTTCGATAAGTTCAAATTGTTTTGTTGGTTGGTTCTATAGCTTCATATTTATGATTTGGTCCGCACATGGGCTTAGACCATGATCTGCAGATTCACATTGTCTTGTTGGTTGGTTCTATAGCTTCATATTGATGGTTTAGTCTGCACATGTGCTTAGACCATGATCTGCAGATTCACATTGTTTTGTTGGTTGTTGGTTGACTTTTGTATTTTGTAGTCACCAATGCTGTTTTCTGAAAACGACCATTTCTGTCGTTTCGCTACCATGAGTGAAGAAATGAGTTGGGGATGGTTGACTTTGGCAGATACCACTTCATAAAAGGACTGTTTGGTACCAAAATGTTGTTAAAGTATGCTATCAGGTTTGAGGAAAATCCAAACAAGTAACTCCATTATTCATTCATGCTATATGTAAATAGCTATTACAGATATTTACGATTGATAGTGACGTTTGGACGAACTTAAATATATAATACAAAGTCTCTTTAAGCCAAGATCAAGCCTTACACGTACCACCCTCTAGCAGGACTAATTAAAGAACAAGAAGAACATGTTTTTAAAGAATCTACTGAAAATATCAAAGTAATCAAGTGCAGTGGCAGCATTCTTATTACTCTTCTACAGCATCTTCAATTTTGAAATCCGGCTAATTTCATTATCAATGTTTTATTGACAAGCTCTTATTTTCGATTTTAAGTTTGGCATTAAGGGTTTTTCAAATCGGTACTAATGTTAAGTAGACACTAGAGGTGACGCGTTTGGTCGTAAATGTAGAGAGACATCGAATTGTCAATTCAAGGTGTAGAATAAAAAATCAACTTACCAAGCTCTCGATGTATTTCATCATCACCTGTTCACTATTTTCCGATTTATACAGCAAAATATGTAAAATGGTTGCTGTTTTTTGAAATAAATATTTGAACTACGTCAGATTATTCTTTTGCAGTAGGGCCATCATAACAATGTCATTTTAAATTGTAACTAAAATAAGGAAAATAACACTAATCTTTTTAGATATTGGTGGACAGTTTGAGAATCCGCTTTGGTGCAGAACAGTAGGCATAATTATGAAATATGAACAAAATTTTACCATTGGTATTTGAGTTACCATCCTGGTGGACGGACGTATCGACGGACATGTTCCCTATATTTAGAATGGGACAAAACTACATGCCTTTTAAATTCTCAGCCATACAGTCCTTAGCACCATTCCAATATGAATCAATGTAACATCTTCAAATTCCTATAAACATGCAATGAGCCATTTTATATCACGGCGGCTATCTTTATTGAATTTAATATTTTTAAACAAAATACAAAATTTTAAGTTTAATTGAATTGATGGTAAACTTGATATTCGCTTTCTTATTTGCCAGATGATATTCACTGAGTGTCTATCGAGGAACAACTGGGACTTTATAAATCACACTGGTGGATCCAGGTGCTAACAAGAATAATAAATTTCAGCGCTTGCGTGGAAAAAGTTTTCGTAAAAACCAAAATTTGGGCCCACTAAAATTTATCCTAAATGTACATGATTGTATCTGCGTTGACAGAAAAACGTATACTGCACCGATTACAGAACGCCGACTTTATACAGAAATGCCTGGGTAGGTGGGTACATCGTGAATAAAATCAATACGTTTAATCTATAATGGTTTCGTCATGCGACCAAGCTCCAAAGTCTTGCAATTCAATGGTTACCATATTGCCAAAATAAATCATGACTTGCTGTTGGATGTTACTGGATCGATCAATAAGTTCTGAGAAATCCTTTTAATAGACTAGTTGCGGGTAGAAATAATCTCAATTTAAGTCATTAAATATTCAAAATTCAGTCAAACTGATGTCATATTTAGAAATATGGTTTCGAAAATTGTTTATCAACTTTAAAAATGAATTTTTTTTGAAAATGTGACTTCTAGTTCGGGTTGATTCCCCATAGACCCCATGTTACAAAATCACAAAAAGTGAAATATATTTTCTTGTATTGGACAGATAACATTCTACTTTACTGGACATATTTTAATTTTCATAACTATTAGATACATAAGGGTTATATGAAAATTGAGCCACTACTATACCCGCCATGTTATCTGACCCGAACGAGCCACCTGGTGGTGAAATTGGTAACTTCCTACTCGCATCTATGTTATTGACGAGTTTAAGGTCTTTCTACTTTATATTTTCACAAGTCACGTAAAATAATGACACATATCAATATTCTGAGTTAGACAGTATTTACGTTTATTCAATGTTTTAAACACCGTTACGATGTTGATCAGTGTATTTATGGAACTGGCCCGAAACATAGAGCAGCCTTTTAAAACTGCCATAGTGGAATTTTCCATTGCAATCTTTCCATGGTTTTTCTTTGTGTCACATGTACTATTCAACGTTAGCGTGGCTTAAGCCAGCTACTTCATATTTTCCTTTTAAATTCAAACTTAATCACAGCTGGCCATGAGGGAATTGGCACTATCATGAAACAGTTCAGAAAGGGGCAATATGCATGGGTCATTACTTATTTCAAAGTTGCCAACAACACAAACTCCAGAGGATCAAACATAACAACAGAATGCACTGAAAACCAAATTACCAAAATGGCTGAAACGAGTTTCACAAATGATTTCACGGTTAAAAAGATGTAAGATGTATTAACGGCAACGAAGACTATTGTGGGAACCTATAAAGAACCCATTAACAAGATGTGAAAGTTACATCATACTTGTATCTCATATGAAGCGTATGTTCTGAAAAATTGCTCCGTCTACCTAAAACACAAGTAACCAAAGTAACCATGTTTTTCTACAAACTAAAGGAGAATCAAAGAAACTTGGTTTTTCAATACCTGCCTTCATTTGATACCGCTTATGAAAATTTAAAACAAAACTCTACATAGTACTATGTAGAGCTTTTCAGAACGTATTTATCGACCTCACATTATGACAAAGATGGCATAATTTAAACTGTTAAAACATTTCTTCATAACCAATATGATCCTAAGTCGACATCGGCCATAATTCGTTCACTTAAATGTCGAGGCCTGTTTTGAAGTTTTAAATCACTCGGCTTCGTAGGAGATAAGTAAACATGAGCTTTGGTATTGTGACGTGTGACATTGAGCATACGAACTATTTCAAAATAAGTTACGAGACGTGTGAGCTTATTGCGTTTATTCATATACAAGCACTTGATCGTATTGGTAATATGTCAGATAAAATGGAGGGTAAAATATTTGCTAATGAATTTATTGTCCCATTTCGCCTAGGCATCCTTGTTGAAATGATTAACAACTTGTTGTGTATCTGTTATGATAGAGGCCCATTGTTTTTTGAAAATCAAAACCTACAAAGGACTATCATGGACCTAACACAAAAATTCGAAGCAAATGACGTAATCTACAATACATCCCTTATCATTTATATTAAGAAAGTCAATAAAAAATATTAGTGTGTTTACTTTGCTTTACTTTAAAGTGCTAATTCGGTAATTTCTGTTTATTTTTTCTCACTACAATAGATTAAACAGATATTGGTAAGTAAAAATAGTATTCCAACAGACTCTCAACTCATTCCGTTTGTTCATTACTGGCAAAATAAGATTTCCCTGGAAAAAACATGACGTCACGAACAGAACCAGTTATGGATTTTTAACGGCAATGCGTTATGCAACTAAAGTGCCAAGTTAAAATTGTTTATGTTATCATGAGCATCGAACAGACACTTTAATTCGCATTATGCTGATACTTCATCATGTCATTTTCATTTTTGGAAATCACTTATCAGTTGGCCACTTCCGTAATAAGGAGTGGTGGAATTTTTGTTTTAGCCAATGGAATATCAGAACATATTTTGTTTACATTACATATTTCTATTTTAATCAATTCTTAAAAAAACGATAATAAAAATATTAACCCGAGTTTTACTCGATTGTCTTATATTCTCAGTGATGAATTATAGTGCTGTTTAAAATCCTATAAAAGATAGATTTAGACTTTCTGTGAAATTCTATAAAATATTTATTCTAAAACACGTATTGATAATGATACGTGATGTTTGCAGGCAAGAATAACTAAAAGTAAAAGTGACAACGTAAATAACTCTTGAGTGTTGTGTATTGCTATCGAGTGTTTATTCTGATTTTTTGCTATTTCATTATTCTGGTCTCGTCCGTCCTTCCAGTATCGTCCGACAACCATCAACAGTACACTTCAACTCAAGGAGAAGGGATCAACTTTACAGATTTGTTTCTTTGAATTTATTATTTCTGAACGTTTATTAAAGAAGCAGACGGAGCTATATCCATATAAAAGAATAAATTTATAGAAGGATATTAAAATGAAACGTGCTAAATCATAGTTGTAGCGTTAGAAAATGACGAAAGTGAGATGGAATTCGAACATAAGGTCACTGGATACAATTTTAGAGTCACCCCCTGTTAGGGATTATGATCCCCCACCGGCTGATTATGACGTGGTGCCGTCACCGAGACAATTGTATAACCATTGGTACAATGGGGTCCAGGTACAAAGAAATGATAAAGGTATGACTGGGTTCGTTCGGGTCGTTTATGGATGAGGATGAGGTCGAGTTCTGGGGGTCGAGTCCACATCCAGAATTACATCACATTTCCCTTGCATCAAAATGTTAATATTCTACGGATACCTCAAAAGCAGAGCATCGTTAATCCTGTTACGATTTCAGTGAAAATGATCACTGCGATGGGATAAATTAATTCCATACACTATGAGGACCTACTAACGTATCACGTCGAAGGTTATCCTATGAAGGGGGAGACGTGATGCAGTCATGAGCAGGGTGCTAAAACAGAAGAACTAATACTCACTATACTGTCCATAGCTTATAGGACCTAAAAGTTAAAAAACTGTAATGATTTATTCACTTAATTTTTATTTGCAGCGTTGATTTTCGAACTAAAGCGAACGCTGAGCGACTGGAAAATGGGGGTCGGTTCTGATGTCGCAGAGACCGAGGGATCGGACTCGCTTGTAGACTCAGGGGTGGAGTCAGGACAGAATGACGACGATCTCTCTATGTTGACGTATTTCGATGAGTCAGTTCTACTGAAACACCTTAGTAGCAGATATCTAGATGGAAAAATATATGTAAGCTAAGCTCTGTTAAATGTAATTGAACTGATCATAATATGTCAAGACCTTGGTTCAATTCCTTATCGCGTGTACTTTAATATTTCAATAAGGATATTGTTGCATCTTTGATTAAATTAAAGTCAGGCTAACACTATTTAATATGACTAAATATTTATAACTATTTGCATGCAGTGCTTCAATCAAAAAAATAAACACTCTTTTGGTGCAAAACAATATCTAATGAGCACTTACGATCAGTCCGTCATGAACATTTCACTTACTCATTACTTATAGTCGATTGTTGTTAGTGCTTACACTTTCTCTCCTATTTTAGTTTCACATGATTGTATCACAACGACCTGTACCTAGTTTTTAACTATTTCAGACGTACATTGGAGATGTTCTTGTCGCGATCAACCCCTTTGCATTCTTGGACATATATGAAGTTGAGGTATGTTTAGGAGGCCAGGGTGGGTTCTTAGCAAGAGAGTGTCTTATGCGAATTCTTTGCGAATATTCTTTGAAATACACAAATGTATTAGGTTCTGATTATCTTTCAAGGATTTGGGATCTACTTGATGCAATGTACTAAACTGGTTCTCTCAAAAATGTTCTTGCTATTCCCTCTGGATCAGATTCTTTATGTCACATCCACACCTAGAGGGGATATATGATTTTTATGGCACCATCACAAGTGGTGACATTTGTTATAGTCTCCAACAGTAACAATCTGCGGCGTCTGTACAATTTGCAATAACTTACAAGATGGTGACATTTTGTCAATGTTAATGCCTTGTAATGTTATTTCATCAACTGATAATAGCAAATAATTGAGCGATTGTGTCATTGTTTAACTCACCCAAACTTCAATCATTTCTTCATCAGATTCTGTGAATTTGTTGAATCAAAAGTTAAAGTAAATCATAAACCAACAACAGCTCAAGTATATGATCTCTTTAGGTATAATTAATTTAGTTACTGTATCATCGAGGTTGGATCGACAATTAGGTGAAGGCTAGCCCTTATGATGGTGTCCATTTAGGCTTTTCATGTCTAGTGGACAAAGATAAATATTGCACACGCCCAAATTGATACACATATATATTGTCCAGTTCGTTGTCCAAAACTTATGCCTGGCCAACTGGACCAATGTATCTTCATACTTTTAACGCCATAAAATCTACTTTCAACGCCGTCAAAAACGATTTTATACGGCGTCAAAATTTTGGTCCAGATCGCTAGCCATATCATCTAGCCTTTTCGCGTTCATTGGTTGGAAGGGGTGAATATGTGTTGTTACTAGGGATTTGGGAGACCGGACCGGAGCAAGATAATACGTAATAGTATACGCTACTATGGCTATGGTTATTCAAGTATCATGAAGTGAACTTTGCTTTTAAGTCTATTTAATCGTCTTCAAAAAGATGTTCGTTACATGAATATAAAAATAAAACTTACACAGTGAAAACTGTCGAACAAGGTGAGCTGGCTTTTGCGATTTTCTAGAAATGACGGAACGCTAAATATCAAAAATATCAGGAGGCCTGAATTTGCAATATTGGGAACATTGTTCAAAGAATCTTGTTTGATATAAAACATATCGACGTGGTGCTCAAGTGCAGTCATGAGCAGGGTCAAACAGAAGAACTAATACTATTGTCTATATATGAAAAAACTGTAACCATTGATTCACTTAATTTTCATTTGCAAAATACCAGAATCTTTAAAAACGGAATCTACACGATCTAATCGTCACTGGAAATTTCCAAATTTTCCCAAATAACTCTCCTTTCTTAAAAGTTAAGTATGACCATCATGTTTAACTCAAAGCTGGTAATTGACGATATGACTTATTGGTCAAGTTTGGCAAATACATGTGATGATCACATGTTAAGTTTACTCCTACTTCGATATTGATTAGTGTGACACATTTGTACATTTCATCAACTTGAAATACTTCATTTTATGTTCTTAGAATTCAGAAGATTTTATCGTGGCAGAGTAAAATAGTTTATTATGTCCCCACCACATAGTGTGGGGCCATATTGTCGGCCTAGGCGCGTCCGTCTGTCCGTCTGTCTGTCCGTCCGTCTGTCTGTCTGTCTGTCCGTCCGTACGTCCGGGAGTTTTCTCCAAAACCGCTGCAGATATCACCTTCAAATTTTCAGGGATAATTTATGAGTGCATACAGATGTGGATGAAAAAAAATTAACTCGATACCTACTTCCTGTCGGCCATTTTGAAGTCAAATGCTAAAATCCTTGTCTGCAAACTTTAAGAAAAACGGCTTCACAGTTGCTTTTAAAACTTTAAAATCTTGTTCAGCTCACTTCATTCTAGATCTGATTAGGTTTTGGACCTGTTAGCTCAGTCATGTCAGCCATTTTGAATGTTTTAAGAAAAGTTAGCGCACGATAATACTTTGTATCATATTGAATGGTGTTTTTCAGTTTTCATGCTTTAACTTTTTAGTAGCTTTATAAATAATTTCAGGTGTACTTTGTTGTAAAAGCTTATGTTATTGTTAACAGTAGGTATATGTGATAATTTTGTAAAAAGATTTCAGCAAAAACTCATAATCACTTTTTTATTGTCGGCCATTTTGGATTTTTCCTTCCTAAAATCTTGTCTGTAAAGTCTTGTCTACGCGTTTTCAGGTGAACCGTTTGGTAGATCAATTTCAAATTTTCAGGGATGATTCTTAGTATGAGAATCTAGATCTGATTAGTTTTTGGGCATTCTGGGTAAATGTCAAGGCAGCCATTCTGGATTTTCCGTCCTAAAATCTTGTCTGTAAAGTCTTGTCTACGCATTTTCAGGTGAACCGTTTGGTAGATCAATTTCAAATTTTCAGGGATGATTCTCAATATGAAAATCTAGATCTGATAATTTTTACGGCATTCTGGATAAATGTCAAGGCAGCCATTTTGGATTTTCCGTCTTAAAATCTTGCCCGTAAAGTCTTGTCTACGCGTTTTTAGGTGAACCGTTTGGTAGATCAATTTCAAATTTTCAGGGATGATTCTTAGTATGAAAATCTAGAACTGATTAGTTTTTGGGCATTCTGGGTAAATGTCAAGGCAGCCATTTTGGATTTTCTGTCCTAAAATCTTGTCTGTAAAGTCTTGTCTACACATTTCCAGGTGAACTGTTTGGTACATCAATTTTAAATTTTCAGGGATGATTCTTAGTATGAAAATCTAGAACAGATTAGTTTTTGGCATTCTGGATAAATGTCAAGGCAGCCATTTTGGATTTTCTGTCCTCAAATCTTGTCTGTAACGTCTTGTTTACATGTTTTCTGGTTAACTGTGTGAGGGATCAATTTCAAATTTTCAGGGGTGGTTCTTAGTATGAAAATCTAGAACTGACTAATTTTTTGTCATTCTTGGTAAATTTTAAGGTGGCCATTTTGGATTCTCCGTCCTCAAATTGTGTCGGTAAAGTCTTGTCTACTCATTTTTAGGATAATTATTTGACAGGATTACCCATAGGTGGGGACATATTGTACACATTTGTGTTCTTGTTAACCGTTGTACTAAGTTAATTTTGCAAATTTTCTCTCATCTAGTTTTATGTTTTTATAAAATCTTTTTTAATATCCCAATCTATCCAAAGTGTACATAAAATTAACAATCAAGAATATTTCTGTTTAGTTAAAAGTACACTTGAAATATGACTATTTAAACTGAGGTATGATTACAAAGCTATTTTAGATTGATAAACATTTATGGTTTTCAACGTACTGGTTGTACCATTATTTGACGCCCGTGCGGCTTGTTCCTTATCGTTTGACCTCTGACACGACACCCACGGACATTTCACTAAAGGCTCTTTGTGAAACTTAAAACATTAAAACTACATTGGCTTATACTTTAGTCTTACGCAATGCTATCAAAATGTGATAAATTGAACTTCTTTCTTGATTCCAAAAATATGTTTTAAATGGGTTTTCCTTGAAAAGTATTGAACATTTTTGGTGTCCTCTTTTTCATAAAAAATCTCAGACACCAAATTCATATCATGTGATACTTGAATGTTTAAATGATATTTTGCATGGGACATTTAGAAATATAAATTCTACTTCTAATATTTAACGTTTATATTTAAATATAAAGATAATGTCTGACCTGAACCCAAGTATAATAAATTCTGAACAATAATTGATTTAATCATAACCAATATTACCATTTCTTGTTACAGCAACAAGAATTATACAGAGACGTTAAGGTTCGTCGTGAAATAGATCCGCATGTATTCTGGGTCGCGGACAACACCTTCCAGAACATGCGCGATACGGGCCAAGACCAATGTCTTCTAATCTCGGGCGAGTCAGGAGCCGGGAAGACCGAAACTGCCAAGTTTGTAGTGCAACATATCACCTACGTCTGCAACATGGCGAGCAACGACATGGAGAATAAAATAAACGAGGTAGAGATTTGAAAAATAATACGCATTGATTAAATGATATGACTCAACTTCAACCATTCATACTACTTCACAAATAGCCTATTAGATTCCCTTGCACCCCCTTGAACACTTACATCCATCAAAACTGGCGACCAGGAAAACACAAAGCTTGCACCGGTAGTTTATAGTCATTTCTGAAAATAAAGTTCATGGGTAGTGTTTAGAACAACGGAATCGATCAATTTGTGATAAGAATGTCTTGGCTTTTTGTTTTTCTAGTTTATCCTACTCCTTTACATCTATTCGAGCTCCAAATCCTTGTTCAGTTACACTTTGAATTTATAGGTGAAACAAAGGGACATTTCACATTTTTACAATATTTCATGTTTACAGCTTTCTTTGTCGTTCTTTCTGTGATGCAAATAGTTCAGACTGTTTTTCATAGTTATGACAAATGGTTTAAACAGACGTCCAATTTTCCAAATTTGATTTTGTTGCCACTTTATATATCAAATCATTACCTAGTTAGTATATTGGAGGCAGAAAGATTCGAAAGTTACTTCCCTTTAAAACGTTTCTGAGAATATCGTTTATTTTTGTATACTGTCAGTTAAACATGCACTGCACGAGGGTCGGCTATTGCTAAGCACGCAGTCCAAGGCTGAGTGCGCTAGCAATAGTTCACCCCCACCCTATATTTCAGCACACCCCTCCCATAGATTATATTACCGCAGAGAGCTACGTTGCAGCTATGGAACGTATGATTAACAAAGTAAGTGAATACCCTCCCCAACCCTTATAACCAAATAGCTTAAGGATCCCCTTGAGACTGTTGGGGTAACCATTGGAGTCAGTGGCGGATCCAGAAATTAATAGGGGGGGGGGGGGATTTTGAGTCTTGAAATTTTTTTTGAAAAATTAAGGCCCATTTTTTCAAATTGGCCAAAAAGGCCTAAAAATGCCAAATTATGCCGAAAAGACCCATTTTTGAGACCCTACAATTTATAACGGATTAGCTACTGTGGGTTACAATTATGATGACTAAAAACCTACTGGTATACTGTATTTGTTCGATAATCGATTTGTTCATTTCTTAAAAGAGAGCTTCTTCGGTAGTTTATAACTAGACTCGCAGGGTACTACTGGTACATTTCCTACTCGTATCTCTTTTGCCACCACTGATCTTATTTTCATGATTATATGAACTATCAAATACATATTTTATCAAGTATATATTCTATAACTTCAGGAAATTTACACGATTTTGTAAGATATTAGGTAGTTTAAGCTTGCATATAAAGTCAAAACGCCAACCTATACATATGGTCAATCGCCCATACAAATGCATCGCTTAAATATTTTACGTTCACGTTTAGATTGTGAAAAACATTGCAAGCTTAAACTCCCTATTAATTTGGAAAACACGATTTGAAAATGAAAATACATTTTGTAAATTGAAGAAGGTAGGTATATCCATAGTTTGAGTTAAGAGTATGATATATAAGTTGCGAAACAATACCACTTTCTACTCATACTGATAATGGCATATTTATTGCTAAGTTCACACAGGTTAGAGACTTTTGAAATTTGTCAAGAAAAGAACAAGGAAGTCTTATTTCGTGTATAGAACGTGGTCTCATTTGGAGACAATAGCTTCAATTGTAATATTTATATTCGCAAACTCTATAATAAACAGTTTTCCCAACAGTTCATCGGCCCAATTAAATATTCCCGTGCGCTATTAGACTTTCACAGACAGTTCGGTGATTGTCCTATCGCAACCTTAAAGGAATATTCCTTGCCAAACCATCTCTCTCCTCATATGGTAGCTATAACCATATATATGCTTGCCATGTTTAGCAAAACACGCAAAAATGTTTTGATATGGTCAAATTTGATCACTTAGAAATGTGATGCTCAATTCCAGTAAGCTGCCATCTTTTAAAATTTCACACAGGAAGTGATGTCATCGACTCTCAACTAAAACCAGCTAAATATTCTTTTTCAACTTTGTATCTTATTTAATCCTTCTGAAAATCTCTTCTTTTATTCTAAGTTGACAAGCCCTGAAAATATTTTTGCACAGAAAGTAATGATCACTTGTCAAGAAGTGATTTTGTGCTTTCCTATACTGTTATGGGTAAGGTTATAGAAGTTGAGAGTTGATGACATCACTTCCTGCAAGAAATCTTAAAAGATGGCAGCTCACTGGAAATAAGCACTAGATTTTTAAATGATCAATATTGACCATATTAAAACATTTTCCCATGTTTTGCTAAATATGGAAACTATATATATATGATTATAGCTACCATATCAAGAGAGAAAGGGTCTGGCAAGGAATATTCCTTTAACTACGTTTTTATAAACATATCCCATTCGTCAACTTGATGTACATTTCAAGCGTTTTACGATAGGTTGAACATATACAGTGTCAGTTTTGGTTTAATATAAGAATAGTCTTCGTGTGGCTGTCTTTAAAGATCATATGATATCTTTATATCATGATATAACAACCGTTATAACAACGATATAACAACAATGATATAACAACGTCCTAAAAGTCTAGAAAATGTTTTACAAAATTGTATGTTTTTGTGCTGTATTCCAAGTACCTACCAAACTCGCGCATGTTCTTTAAATTAAATCACCCAGAAGATGCCACCTCTATATTTTGCCTTCATGTTCCAGATAAACCCACTTCTAGAAGCGTTTGGAAATGCCCAGACTGCAATGAACGATAATAGTAGTCGATTTGGAAAGTACCTAGAGCTAAGTTTCACAAAAGAAGGCCAGTTAGAAGGAGGTAACTAATATTTGTTAATGTACTTTATTATAGACAATAATGCGAGTTGCGTTTAGTGTTCTTAGTAAAAGTCAGTACGACATTTTTAAAATAAGTCAAGTGTAATAACGTTACTTAATTTTAAAAGATAGTATCAGATTGCATACATTCATTTGATTTGTAATTGTGAAATTGACATATTGTAGCGAATATAAGACACTATATCTTGGAAAAGGCAAGAGTTATTTACCCAGGACCGAGGATGGAAGAGAGAAATTTCCATATATTCTATTATTTATTTGCTGGCCTTGGGAAGGATCAACTGAGGCGATACTATCTCGACTCTCCAGAAAATCACAGGTAAATTCGAACTGTTCAGTAAGATTGCGCACGTTTTAGCGATCCTTGATAGATCACCAGAAATGAGTTTCTTCTTTTGGATTACTTCTTTTGGATATTGAGAAGTCCAAATTACATAAGAAACACAACCAGAAGAGAACTATCCGAGAGCATCACCGATCAAAAGAAAAACTAATCCCAGAGGAAAACAATGTCTAACACCCTCTTTCTTGCCCCCTATCCAGAAACCATAATCACAATCCAAAAACACAACCGGGCCATTTCATTCAGAAGATGTGGTTTGCATCAATGTCTGGTGTTACCGTTGCAGATCTACAACCCAAAATAAATATTATTATTAAAATTTGATGACATTATTAAATGTTACTGCTTTCAAATAAAGGAATTCAAAATTATCTTACAGAATTATGAAACTTCACGACCAACAGCCTGTGTTTAGAAATGAGGATGACATATACTTCCATCGTGCAATGTACGAGAAACAAGTGCAGATAATGGAAACGGTTGGATTCACACATTTGGTAAGCAGTTCCTTAATGTGCTTATTGTATCCTGACAGCCATGCCAATAGTTGAAACGGGAATAGTTTTTTACAAGATTGTAATTTTACAAGCTTGAATGAATTACGATTGCTATAAATCCTGATCATATCACCATTGTGACCATAGGACAGCTTGGCCAGTAAGGCTTCATTTAGGCCTGGGACTGTGTTAGTCTGCCCAGTTGCAATAACTCAAAATAACTCTTCACCACTAGGTGGTTAATTGGGGTCATAATATGGCAGGTACATGTGTTTATTAGAAAATTCCCTTAAACTTGAATATTCATCAGTTTTAGTGGTTCAGTTTTCACATTACCTAAATGTATCTGATAGTTGAACAAATTAAAATATGTCCAGTAAAGTAAAATATTATTTGTCCAATACAAGAAAAGATATTTCACTTTTTGAGATTCTATAACATTGGGTCTATGGGGAATCACCCCGACCTAGAAATCACATTTTCAAATAAAACGTTTCAAAGCTAATAAACACATTTTAAAACCACATTTCTAAGTTTACATGTCGATTTCAAACATGATATCACTTTGACTGAATTTTTAATGGCGAAAATGGCGATTATTTCTACTCGCATCTTGTCTATTGAAATAGTATTGAAAAACAACAAATAACAACAATTGATATGAAGACTTTGAAATAAAAACCTAGCGTATCTTTGCATATTCTGATATAACAACAAATAGGGCATCATATAGCCTAAGAAATACAACATTTATTGTAATATTTATTGTTATAAAACACAATGTGTACGACCTCAAACAGTGAAGAGGTACAGAGCAACATAACCTATCACGATCCTCTTGACTGTAATAAATCATATTCGCCAGTTTCATTATATCATCCTCGTCAGTGGCGTAGCGTGGGTATTTTTGAGTATACGCCACGAGGGAGCGAAGCGAACGATCTTTGAGGGGGGTTCGGGAGTGGGGAATTTTCCCACAAGAAAATTAGAAAATGAGATTGCAGTTGAAGCGTTCTGGGGCGTTTTAAAATACGAAATTCCGACGAAATGGACTAATGACATTTAAATTATTGGTCATTTTATCCATTTTTAAAGTGTGAGGCAATTCAATCTAAAAATCAACCTTTCTCTAAATTTTGAGAGTACGCCATGGCGTTTTATGCGTATATGACGCTACGCCATTGCTCGTTATCTATTAGTAGTATTATATGAACAAGACCTTAGATACACGAGGATTTGTTTTTATATTTTTCAATGGCACAAAGTAAGAAAAAAGACATAATTGATAAGTATACATATATTCATGGCCTATGGCCAACCATATACTTGTGAACCATCATGGTGTCTCTACAAGTATGTTGAATTATACAATTGAAGTTTTTGAAACATGTATCATTTGAAAGTTTACAAGCATGAACTGTAAATTAATTTTTTTATAAGATAACAATAGATGTAAGTGTCATTCTATGAAAGTTTGAATTTAACACTGTCGATTTGATATATTGTCTTCGCACATGGTCTGTTTTAGATACGCCCTCTTTTGAGTGCAAATTGATAAAAGGAAGATCAATTGCAATATTAGTATAATATATCAAATTCTTCAGATATGAGACACTTGTTTTCAACAACCTCTTCAACTCCTATATGATATGGTCAGTCCTAAGTGGAGTTCGATTCTGTAACGTATACCTTTTTAGATAAGTGGAGGCCTATTCTGTAACTTGTACCCTTTTAATACAATTTTTGATACAATTCGCCCGATTGAAGAATTGACATTACACTAACAAAAGTAAATGGAACTATTCAAATTCTAAAAATTCAAATGATTGTTTCTAGGAATGGGAAAATGATCTTGATTGAAAATGTAGATTTCATCTCGAAAACATTTTTAGAAATATCAAATATGAACTATCAAAATAGTTATGATACGTTTATATGATTTGGATGTTAGCTTGTATTTGCGAATGCAACTAACGCCTATCGGCTACAGGATTAGCTATTTTATGGGTAACTCATTTAAATAATGAATAGTGCTTGCTACTATTCAATTAATGTTTAAAAGGGCTGTTCATAGAATAGAAGATTAATCCGGTAGCCGCTAACCGTTACTTGCATTCGCAAAAACAAGCTAAGTTAGAGATTGTTTTGCCTATAAATAAAAAGGTGGGAGAGGAGGCAAAAATCACCTGGTAAGTCATGGGCGAAAAAACAAAGTGAGGAAGGAGCAATGGTCGAGTGCCGTCAAACATTCGATAAATGCACGTATACTCATACTCAAGACCAATATCTTTAAATGCCATTCACTGTCTAATTTATATTGATAATTGTGACATTTGAAATACACTTGCTTCTAGAATCTAAATGTCAAGCATGAACAGTGCACTGGGGTCAAAAATCCTGACATACACATTTACATGAGTTATTTACGATGTTTATAGCATCGAATCGGTTGGTATCTGGGTATATACCCCAGTGGATTTTAAAACAGAATTGAAACAACGTGCCCTATAAAACATGCATTTAGCTACTTCTTAACTAATTGTCTTGGTTTACATTAAATTCAGACGACAGATCTCAGTATATTGATGATCTCTGAATCTGATTACTCTGATTTAAAAATGTAAGGTTTGACATAACTATTATACAATTCTTACATGAATAGAGGCTATATAACGGGAGGGATGAATATGAGTTTTATTCCGAGAAGCAATAAAAACCCATATTCAATTCTTGACCAGGAAATAAGTGTTGTATACAGTAACAACACGTGTAAGGTGGTTTACGCTTTTACATATAAAAATCAAACATATATGGAAATACATGTTAGGCTTGGGGAAACGGCAAAGAACTTACATAATATTTGCTAATGTTGCGCAATGAACATGCAACAGTATGATCATCAATTTTTAGGATATAAGCTTGTGGACTTTTCATGTTTTCGTTTGCTCATTGTATTTTCGTCTCTGTGCTTTTTTCCTTTTCATTCAAAAGTTCAATATCCGATTAATTAATTTTATTACAGCAAATCGACAAAGTTTCCAAGATGTTGGCGGCCATCTTGCACGTGACAAATATTCCATTTGATATTGATGACTACACTGATGAAATTCATATCAATGATAACTACTCATTTAATGCAGGTAAACTTATTTGCTGCAATGTAAATGATTTATTAAACATTTATCGACTTCATACAAGATGCAGATATAATATATAGATTCCATGCAAAACATTCTAACTTGTTATAGAGCGATGTTTCCCAGTTGTCTCATCTGGTTTGCGTTATAGGTCAAGACCAAAAAGTATTTTGAGATACCAGGTGGCGAGGCGCGCTAGATGAGAAGCGCAGGCCACACGGAGCACAGTTTTAGATTCAAAATCTTATATAGATGATCATAGAAACAGATTTTAATGTTGATAAAATATATCATAACTTAGATATTCATAAGGTGGAGCTGACGGGTATGTTATCGAGGTAATCAAGAGACCATGAATGTATAGTGAGCAAAATTATAATTTTAAGCAGAAAATTTCAAATTTCGTTTCCTTTAAATCTGGCTCCATGACCGTCTGTATTTAATTTTGAATCTAAATCTGAGCTCCACGTGGCTTGCGCTTCTCATCTGACGCGTCAAGACCCATAAAGCAACCCAAGTGAGACAACTGGGAAACTTCGCTCCATAACAAATTCCATACTGATATAAAATATTGAGCACTGTTGGGCTATCTTTTTGTGACTTGAAAAATACAATATAGACGCCTTGAAACATAAATAATGTAGATGTCATCTAAATCAAGCAATATTTTGCAATTTTTGTTTATAGCTTGTGAACTGTTACAAATAGACAAAGATGAATTTAACAGTGCGTTGGTCACAAATGTAGGTCATAGCCGAGGTGAGAATTTATTTTATTTTGCATATGATGGAAACGACTTGTTTATCATTCATTTATGCCAGACACATCTTCGTACATTAGGGCTCTTTAAGCTCCCCCCCCCCCCCCAATTCTTTTCTACATTTTCTACAAAGTCGCTTTAGGTCTCTTGTGTGGTAAAAGTTTACATTGTAAATAACATTGTGTCAGTCAGTCAATTGGATACATCATTTAGACCTGTTTATTTTGTTATAATTTCATATACATTGTTGTACTACCTGGTCATCCCAACACAAACCCTTTCACTCTTTCCCACCATCTCTAGGGGGAAATCTAGGCGATTAGGTTATGCAATTTCATTTGGTATTGTACTTGTAGGTCAACGGTTTGTGATCAGAAAGAGCTATGACCAAGCTAGGGATGGGAGAGATGCGCTGGCAAAATCCATATACCTGAGGGTATTCAGTTGGGTTGTACATGAAATCAACATTAGATTACAGCCTGCAAAATCCAAAAGGTTTGAAAGCAATTGAAGCTTTATACCTGAAGCATTATTAAATCAGTAAAACATGAAGGACAGCCATAAGGCAACCATCTCCAATACAAGCTATGATAGAATCCAAAAGTACATTGAGGATAGAACAATACAAGTGATGGTTTGTCAACAGTAGTAATAATCTCAATATTATTTATATTTGCAGGTCTAAAGGTCCAACGATTGGAATATTCGACATGGCAGGCTTTGAGATATTTGAGGAGAATAGCTATGAACAACTTTGTATCAATGTTGCCAATGAACAAATGCAAAACTTCTTCAATGAACATGTGTTCATCAACGAGCAGAATGAGTACAAACAGGAAAGAATTGACTGGACACATATAGACTTTGAAAACAACAAGCCCCTCCTTGATCTTTTTCTCGAGGTTTGTCCATATAATATTTGCATAATCCCTTAGATGACACCATCCACAATCACGACCAGTTTCCTCATCATATGAAGGACATTTTGCATCCTAAACATCCTCAATATCACCTTGTTATGTTATTATAGTGAGTTTGAGATGGTACAAAAAATGTTTTCATGCTTAAACGATCAGAACTTCGCGTTGGAAATTCAAACTTTGTTTATTTTTGTATTGTTAGTATCCTATGGGCATTTATTACCTGCTGGATGAAGAGTCGAAGTTTCCGGCTGCTACCGACGCTAGCTTTGTTGAGAAGATCATCGTGTCGCAACAACAGAGTAGACACCTCTCAAGGTCATTCACCACCATGTACACATTCTCGATCCTTCACTATGCTGGCAGAGTAAGCTCTATAAAAGTTCTTAATTCTCGGACCTCCCCCTGAGAAACCCTATGTTTAAGTGTCGACGTGAAAGCAAGGACATATGTATCGTTGAAGATAATTTAATTATTTTAGGATGAAGTTATTCATAAAAACTGTTTCCCTTTGGCTTTTTGCAAATGTGGAGTTTCCAATTCCCATTGCAAATATATACCTCAAGGCCTCTGACCTATGGCTGATTATTACAGGTGGAGTATTCCTCAAGGGGCTTCTTAGAGAAAAATAGAGACAAGGTCAGCTACTCTCTTGTTGATTGTTTGGCCCTCAGTAAAGACGATTTTGTGCATCATCTTTTCTCCGCACAACTATCAAAAACCGGAGCAATATTCTGGTGAGTACAATGTTTGATAATGCGTGTGAACGACCCAGCAGAAATGTTAAAATAACCCATTGAGATAACATGCCGCTGTATTTCAGAAACAAAATGGAAAAATAAAATGTTACACGTTGTAAACAAATACTATGAACTATTTTTTATCAAAGATAAAGACACATAAGGGCCACTTCTTGTACGTGTACTATTATGCCAACTAAAGTGCACACTCCATGTACCTATTCATTATCTGAACAGTCGTTCTCACTTTCAATAATCAGAAAGTATGAGATCATACAAAACACAATCATTGACAATTTGAAGATGACAGTGTATCTAGGAGTCAAAATAACCCAAATGTCTGTAAAGTTAAGTAGTTACTTCTTACTCCACGTGCTACATGTCTTTAATGCAAATATATGAGGTATATCCAGAATTATGGCAATGTCTATACTTTCTATACATTGTCTATACTTTCGTCCTTTTTCATACTATCTGCCTTCGACGTTTCTATACTTTCTATACTTTCGAACTGCTTTTTCATACCAACTGCCTTTGACAAATCAGATGTCTATAGTTTCTATACTTTCGAAATGCCTTTTCATACTAACTGCCTTTGACAAAGCAGATGTCTATAGTTTCTATACTTTCTATACTTTCGATCTGCTTTTTCCTAGAACTGTCTTAGACAAATCAGATGTCTATAGTTTCTATACTTTCTATACTTTCTATCTGCTATTTCCCAGAACTGTCTTCGACATATCAGATGTCTATACTTTCTATACTTTCGATCTGCTTTTTCCCATAACTGTCTTCGACAAATCAGATGTCTACAGTTTCTATACTTTCTATCTGCTTTTTCCCAGAAATGTCTTAGACAAATCAAATGTCTATAGTTTCTATACTTTCGATCTGCTTTTCCTAATAACTGTCTTCGACAAATCAGATGTCTATAGTTTCTATACTTTCTATACTTTCGATCTGCTTTTCCCCATAACTGTCTTCGACAAATCAAATGTCTATAGTTTCTATACTTTCTATACTTTCGATCTGCTTTTCCCCATAACTGTCTTCGACAAATCAGATGTCTATAGTTTCTATACTTTCTATCTGCTTTTCCCCATAACTGTCTTCGACAAATCAGATGTTTTACAATGTATAGAAAGTATCGAAAGTATAGAAAGTATAGACATAGGGATTTCGCCAAAATGTAAAGTATAGAAGGTATCGAAAGTATCGAAAGTATAGACATAGGGAATTCACCAAAATCAAAAGTATAGACAGTATAGAAAGTATAGACATGTACAGACTTTAGAGAGTCCAATCGTCTAAGACTGAAAAAAGTATCATTTAAAAAAAAGCAGTTCGAAAGTATAGAATATGCCATAATTTTGGATATACATGAAATATATATGAGATGTAGATTTTCTTCATAATCTAAGAAAAGTTAAAAAGCAAAAAATAGTGGCTGTTACATGCTATTGAACTTTTTTTGGCTATCTCTATATAGTTGAGCGATTTTATTCATATTTGATATTATGTGAATACGTAGATGCACGACACACTGTCTCGTGACATTATTTTGAAAAATGGCGATCAAATTTTGTGTTCGTGTCATAACGGATGGCAAAATGATCGTTCGACAATTCGACATAATTCTACTCAGTTTTAAAACTCGAAAGCAGGTTTATATGACTCTAGATTTTTAAGTAAGGAGGACTGAGAAACGTCATGGTTCATAGTTGAATTCATACCTCTCCTGCGCAACATCTTTGTCACAAAATGTATGTTCATTATCTATAGTGAATCCTTGTGTGTGGCACTACTTCATTGTGAATCATTTTGAAGAGATAGCAATTAAAATACATGATAAACCACATATGCTTGTGAGCACAAACACTGCCAATGATAATGAACTCTAACCTTTTTGCTATTTTTAGGCCGAGTAAGGATGAAAAACATAAATATCACAGAGATGCGCGTGACCCAGGAGCTGATAACGCAGTAGCCACATTGTCATCACAGTTCAGGGTAAGAGGCACTTCAAAAGAGCTCGTGTTTGTATATCGTTCCTTGTATCAGCAGGTCTACACGTGTCTTTCACTTTACAAGCCCTTTCTTTCTTTCAGCAGGTCTACAAGGGTCTTTCGCTTTTCAAGTCCTTTCTTTCTTTCTTTTACTCCGTGCCATTATGCCTCAGTCATATTTGCTTAATACGGCGACCGTGGTTCCCCAAAATCGCCGTGCGTAGCTTAAGTGACTGAGGTAATAGTGATTATAGTGCTGTGGTTTTACCATAGGCCCCGGGAAAAGTAAGCTTAATCTAAAAGAAACAGACTGACAACCCTGACTGATTTTTTTTCAAAAACTTGCCGTCTCGTTCGAGATCTCCTTACTGGTATGGAATCGTATCACCAAATCTCTCTAGAAGCTTCTCCAAAGTGTTTCTGAGACATGTATGGTTGATTATTATTTCAAATCTGTATCCGAACTCAACGATAATACTGCATAAAAACAACTAATGTAGATATCTGCATTTGTGTGGCAAGTTGAAAGTGTGTCACTTACGGCGGTTGGCTGAAACCAATCAAATCGTTTCAAACGTCAATTCTTGCACTGAAAAGATTTTCAGGAATCCCCAATATAAGACAGCTTTATTCCCAATATATCACTTGATTGGGTTACATTCATAGGTAAGAAAATTATCAATTTCATTGTCTTTTGAAAATAATGAAATAGCCTAAATATTGTTGGAATCGCCATTAAAAAAGTCTGGGATGTCAGGCTTTTCTTTTAGATTAAACTTACCAATACTTTTCCCTGGGTCTATGGATTTCATGATCATCTATACTCTATATGACCACGGTGCCCATGTCAAGCTGCGCGCCTACTTAGGCGCGCAGTTTGTTTCGATCACAAACTGCGTGCCTAAGAACATTGAATCATTTAAGTTGGAGTCTGTATTTTGAAACGTTATTTAAAGACATTTATCCTGCATTGTTTTCTTGTTCAATGCGTTCATTCTGTGGCGAATATACGAATCTTGCAAATACTAGCAAAAACTGTGTGCAAATGAATCTTAGTTTTAAAACCTAAGCAGATTAATGGCATTTTCGTCACTGATTTAATGGGAATTTATACGTAAATCGATCTAGCACTTTAAACATAAATGACAAATACTTTAGACTCGTTTTATATTTAATTCCTTACACATTTATCATGTTTAATTCAAAATATTTCGAAATAAAACAGATAATCAGGAGATTAAAAAGAAATAAACCACAAACTGCGCGCCTATTTTAGCCAGAAATTACAATCTGTGCGCATACACTATTAAAACTACATATTATCATTGGAATTTCTACAGAGGTACGTGTAGGTGTTTTCGATGTAGCTTTGGAAATTTTGCTTTATCGTCAGATTTTATGAGATTTTCATATTGAAAGTCAAAATGTATAATAGGAGTGACAATTAAGTTGGGAACGAAAAAAAACATTTATTTTCAGATCACCATCTTGGTGGATGGACTCTCATAGTGTTTCAATTATGGGGTTCTACTATTAGACACATATGTGCCTTGTATGGCGCTTATGTTTTCTAATAATACAAAACAAGCTTGGATAGGCAAGCAGTTTTGAAATATTAGGCACGCAGTTTGGGAAATACATGTGAATATAGGCGCGCAGTTTGACAAGAAAAATGTTTAAATCACGTTTATGGCGTATTATCGTTTTGAACACAAACTTTGCTGTTTTAATCAGATGGAGTGATCCTATATATTCTAGTATACACAGACACAATGGCTGAATAAACGGCAAATGACGATAAAAGACATAGATATAACTTTACACTGTAAATTTTGAACACAGAAGTTACTTAAGACCCTTATATTGAGATAACTAGGTTTACATCGGGAAAAACATTGAGTACTATGAGTAAATTAAGTTCATCTTCACAGAATGGTACTATCTTTAGAACGAGACTAACCTTGTATTTTTCGTATTTTGGCTCTTTTTGGGAGTCGTGTCCTCCCCGTCTCACATTTTGAAATATGCGCGCAGTTTGTCAGAGTTTCAAACTGCGTGCCTGTGCCTAGTAGGCACGCTGCTTGACATGGGCATCGTGATGACGTTTGATAAAATCCTACAATTGTAATTCATATGAGATTTTTTTATTTGTTTTAAGACATGCATTTGTGAAATTTTCGGTGTACCATGCCCACTCTCAAGTGTGGGCCATTTAAATATATATTGTCAAAGAATTTGATAGACCAAAATTATAATACTTATCTATATCTTATACTGATCTATCTAACAATTTAAATCATATTTTTAGAATTCTATGACTGAGCTGATGAGGAAACTAAAACATTCTACACCACATTTCATTAAGTAAGTGTATAAATCGAAAGATCCAGTAAATGTTTTTACTTCCACAATATATAGTATATAAAGATGTTTATAAACAAAATACAACAACATCATTCACAACAAGTATAGAAGACTGACTATAACTATACGTTTGAAAGTTTGATCAAGAGGAAAATATAGTTGGGCTATTTTGCGACCAGAATCACAAGTGTATTCGTCCCGCTTTTAGCTTAGCTTAGGAACTATGCTTGGAGACGAGTTTATTTCTGCTTTTAGGTGCATCCGTCCAAACGAGGCAAGATCAGCCGGGGTTTTCAGGGAAGATTTGGTGATGAAACAGATGAAATACTTTGGACTGGTTGAGATCGCTAGAATACGACATGCGGGATACCCGATACGACTTACCTTCTCACAGTTCTTAGAGAAGTAAGTAACAATTGCAGAATATATGCCTTTATCAATAATTAAAAAATATGAGATTAAGAAGTTAAATAACTACATTATCTGCTGTATATCCGCCGTTTCCCGATGGTTAACGAATTTTTGTTACATGAGACAAAACGAGACTAGTAACAGTTGCCGATCAGTCATTTGAAAAGGTTTTAACCACTCATGAATAGTAGTATTCGTGGAGAAACCATATTACTCAAAAAATCATGGGGTATCAAATGATTAATATCGCAAAATGTGTGACATACTTAATCAGAGGTAAAAATGCTTGTATCTGAAATTGTTTCAGGAAATTATATATTCTCACTTGCATGCATTATTGCAGGATTAAAAAGAAATCTGGCCATATTCAAATGTTATTACTGTATATGTGCATATTATATAATCGTTTTTGCCATTTTCTTCTAAGAAGAGATGAATCTAAAATGTGAGTGTAAAGATGAGTGCAAACATGGGCTTTCAATTAGAGTTGAAAGCCCATGGTGCACATCACAGATCGCACCTATATTGTTTTATCACTTTTCAATTGATTCTCTTCAAATATATAAATATTGTCAATTAAAGCGTTATCTAGCACTTTAAAAAGTGTCGTCGTGTAAAGGCACAGGTGAAAGCGTCTATAGTGTGTAGGAGTAATATTGGGACAGTAGGACAATTCTTATGAGTTCAATTTTGATTTGAATCGGTGGCTTAAAACATATTTTGGTATGGCTGTCATTTTACAAAGAAACATTATGGGGAAAATTCAATTGCAATGGAATTCAATTAATCACAAAAGTACGAAATAATAAGCAAGTTTATAAAATTGAAATTATTGAGACCATGAAGGACTCTTTAGAGAATTTATCAAATGAGATATTTGTGTGTAGTGTTTGTTGATTAATTATTAGATTGTCAATATATCATATTCTAAAAACTAATCTAAGCCTAGATGGGACGCTATTTAATCGAACCTCTCTTAAAATAATCTCACTTTTTTCAGGTACAGAACAATTTGTTTCGATCAATATGCCCGAGTGGAAAAAAATAAAATTAATTGTGAGATGATATTGCAGAAAGTTGGATTACAAGGATACGAAGTAGGAATATCAAAAGTAAGTAATTATGCAGTTATACAATTTGTATAATCCTAATCAACAGGTTAATTATATGGCAACGTATTGACAAAATTCAACAAATTATATTCTACATTTACATTCATATATTCAAACACTCCACCCAGATAAGTGCTAATAATAAACATTATCAATTTATTGTTTTATTACATGCAAGTACTTAAACACATTTTTTAGCCGAACTGTTGACATTTGGAACAAAATACCAATGCAACCCCCAAATAAATTACAGATCCATATATACGCCTCCCTCAACGTGTTCAGTTATCTACTTTAAAATTTATAATTGCATACAAATTTACAACAACAATCATCCTGGTTATAAATAAATAAATAAAATCGGCTAATAGTCTGTCAACAAAAGATCGTATACCTGTTATACAATATACTTATATTATTTTACACCTATTAAGGGACTTTAGAAGAGTTTCCTAAGAGTTTCTACCCTCACCGTTCTCTTTTCCAACTCAATATCCATCCGACCCGAAAAGAATTGCTGCTGTTTAGATGGCCCGGGAGGATACATTGACTAGTCATTTGGTGTAAAATTTAATTTAATTTTGACCAAACACTAAATTTTGAAATGCCTGTCATCTTTTCACATTTGAGAGTTGAACCATGATACTTGGCGAATCAATGTAACATTGGATAATCTTTAAAATGATATATGACACATACTATGACGACACTGGTATATGTCTGCCTAGGGGGGGGGGGCATACTTTCGGGACACCTTGTATATACTAGTACATTTTATTTGATCAACTTTTCTACTTATAAAGGACCAAAATAGGACCAAGATTTTATAGTTTTTGTCCATGCATGCATTTTAGAAAATATGTATTTAAATATTACCTCAGAACTTAACGTACATTTTAAGTACAGTATATGGTACATTTCAGAACTACAAATACATTTTAAGTACAGTACATGGTACATTTCAGAACTACAAATACATTTAAAGTACAGTATATGGTACATTTCAGAACTACAAATACATTTAAAGTACAGTACATGGTACATTTCAGAACTACAAATACATTTAAAGTACAGTACATGGTACATTTCAGAACTACAAATACATTTAAAGTACAGTATATGGTACATTTCAGAACTACAAATAAATTTAAAGTACAGTACATGGTACATTTCAGAACTACAAATACATTTAAAGTACAGTACATGGTACATTTCAGAACTAGAAATTCATTTAAAGTACAGTACATGGTACATTTCAGAACTACAAATACATTTAAAGTACAGTACATGGTACATTTCAGAACTACAAATACATTTAAAGTACAGTATATGGTACATTTCAGAACTACAAGTACATTTTAAGTACAGTATGGTACATTTCTGAACTACAAATACATTTAAACTACATTTCAGGTGTTCCTGAAAAGCTGGCATGTGGAGAAATTAGATGTTGTCTTGGATGATATTACTCGAGAATTATTTAGAGTCCAACTTGCAAAGAGAGCACAAAAGGCAAATGAAAAACTGAAATCGTCTGAACCAGTCTCTAATCATACATCAGGGTCAACGAGCCCAAGGAAATCGGAAAGGGGTGTCACCATGGATGTACCAAAACAACTTGTTTTAGAGTCTGACACAGTAAGATAATCTTATCATTTATCAATACGCATCATTGATTGAGTCCGATAACGTCAAAGATTTTGCCTTTTCAATACCACTGAACCGATCTTCGTGAAACTTGCTACAGGTGTTCCCCAAACATAACTGAGTGTACACCCCAAATATAAGGATTCTACTGTTTGATTGGTTGATTCTATGGTAATCAGACACCATCCGGGGCAAATTATTTGTTTTAGTAGAAAATGGAATGAAAAATCTAATGTGTTGCATGTTGAGGTAAGTTGTGACTATAAACATTTAAATTGTTAGTAAAATATCTTATATTTAACAGTAACGACCTGATCGTCACTATCTATCATGTACATGTTTTGTCATATTGTAAAAAGAACATTTCTTACTTGTATCGGGATGTAGTTCACGTAGATCGTTCACACTGGTTCTATTTCAATTGCATCTTACGACTCACGAGGTCACGACTCACGAATGACGTACACCTTAGTGATCCACTAGTCTTTTCTAAAAACTATATCAACTGCCAGTAGTTCTACTGATAAAAGCAAGTTTGCGGTTAATGAATAGATCGTAGTTAACCGTTAGTGATCTGTGTACTTTATGTAGGGATCGCAGAAGGTACTGACATCAGGAATGAAAAGGGGATCAATATTTCAACACCCATTCCTAACACCAGCCCCTAGTCCGAGAGGAACCCGACGCTCTAAACAAAGAAGAGCGGGAATCGCAAGCACAGACGCAGACAGTGACTCAAATGTTATAGAGACACCAAGGCGCCCAGCATCCGATTCATTTGCTTTGTCCCAAACAGAGAAAATGAGAAAACCCAACGATACTGGAATGCATAATGTTAAATCTGCCCCTGATTTTCAAGACCCAGTATATGAAGAACTAGATGAACACGCATTTTCTGCAAAAACTGCAGCGCATGTATCAACTAATCCAAATGACTCTGGAAATCATTTAGTGATACCTAGTAGGCAAACTTCCCAATTAAATGGAAGTAGGCCAGACTCTCAGATGAGTACAGACTCAGTGTTTCTCCAAGAGAAAACGGTTGCAACCCCAGATGTGATACGGGAAGAACCCGGTGGAATAGTAATACCGCATAAAAACGTTCAAAACTCCCCAATAGAACCTCAAGTGCAAATTAAAAACAATCAAACTCTTGACGCTGCTCTAGCACAACAATATGCGGTTGTAAATAATGCTATGGCAGCTGAACAGACAGCTGATCAACAAAATGATGATTCACAACTTCCGGAATATACTCCTCTCAAACGTGTTAAATCGAATCAAAAAATAACATCACCTGGAAAGAATACCGATGATTTCAAAACTGCTAGAGACCAACGGAAAAGTGTGGTTGGGTTTTCAGGGCAAACTAAGGTGATTCCTATGGAAGAGAAATCTACTGGGAAAACAGAGGAGGAACTGTATGGGGATATAAACGACGAGGAAGAGTGAGTAGAAACAATTGCTGAAATTAAATCCATTTATTATTATAGATGTTATACTTTCCGAAGTCATATCGATAGTATCGCAGGCAAAGGATTAAGCCTTTCTAACTTTTTTTATTTAAACCCAGCCGAGTAGGGAGGAAACCTAGTGGAGTTCCGAAAAGTTTATGTGTTGGTAGTTTACTGTCATGTCGATATTGAAATATGTGAATGATAAATAGTAATTTTGATCATGTCTATGCGGGTGTAAAAGTTATTATGATCTTTATAAGTTATGGTTTTCTGATGGAATAATATTCCTATGAACAGTTGTCAAAAAATAACCAATAATGCATTTTCTTAAAAATTGGATGACGCATGAACTGGTGGCATTAAAGTAACCAATCATATATGTTTTTCCAGATTGGATGACGCATACATGGCATGGGATGTATTCAGAATGCAAAGCAGAGACAATGAGCATGCATCAGCAAATAAATGTATAAGAACACTAACATACATCGCCAAGTTTTTCTCGTATGTCCTAGTTTCTTTATTAGTCCTCGCAACGGCAATTGCAAGCAAAGGATCGTTTCTACTTATACTGAATTCCATCGTGCATGAGCAGAAGAAACTAGAAACAGCCGAAGGGGTAATGGCACATTTTAAAACTGATTTACTTTGAACAAAATCACTCCTCTGATATTTGGCATGGATATAAATATGCTAATAGACATTTCTGAGCTAACAAGTCCAAGCCAAAGATTACGAAACTAAATTCGGATCTGAGCATCTCTATTGTCCTCGTTAAATTATTAGTCAATTTGTATACAATAAGCTTAGGTTAATGCCACATTGGCCGGGATGTTGACCTGAATTCGTTTAAATTAAGAGAGGCATTGTTCCGGTTTCTAAACGATATATATAATCTCTGTTATACTTGAGTGGGATCTTGCGTTTCAGGACAAATGGAAGAGGGACAGGTGGGTGTTGATAGCGGCTGGAACGGTGTGCCTTCCGTATGGGTTAACGTTCCTAGAATGTGTCCTGAGGACACTGTTCGGTAACAGGGAATGGCCGACTTTGAAAGCATTTATTTGGGCAAGTATTATGACCTGTCAGTAGTAGTGTCTGTGGTGACATTCGTATTGTTTAATATTAACATCAATACAAATGAGGCTCAACTTTTTATCTTCACACTGATATCTACCAACCATGATTACACCCAACATATAATTGTCTTTGGAAATAGGGATTCGTCGTTTTCACTTACACTTGAAACTAAGGGTTCCATTCGATTTAAATGGGATGTTTTATTTTCAGTGTGTATTTATGGAGACTGTCTATTGCATTGGAATAGCCCTCTTCACCCTTAGAGTCCTCCCGTGTCTTGATATAATACGAGCCTTGCTTGTAATGACTACAGTATTCTCAATACCTTCTTTCATAACTATCATATTCGCTGAACGTGACGAGAACCCCAAGAAAAGGATAATATCATACACATTGGATATACTCGCCTTTGTGATGCAATTAACAATATTTGGAGTTATGATGACATTTTACAAATCATGCGACAAAGACCCTTCTCAGGATGATGAGATAACTAAAGGTTGGATTCGCACAATGGAAGGCGATGGCATCATGTGGGAACTTCCAGTGTCCGTTTTCATGATCTCCATAGGATGGTGGGAAAATTTTGCTGACAGGGACATCTTCATAGGAAGTTTTGAACTACCTCTTAGATACTACAGAGAAATCTTACAATACACCCGCTTGAAGACATATATGTTTGTTGCCCTATGGAAATGTGTGGTTGTGTTTGGGATGGCATTTTTACTCTACCCTGATCTTCAACAGAGTGTTACAGATAGATTAACACCTACAAATCCTCCAAAACTCAATACAACAATATCACCTGTTAACTTCACTGACTTTACAACGCCAGGTTATAATTTGACAACATATGGCCACAATGTCACAAATGTCATGTTAATGATCGAAGATGATACAGTTACACCTACCGAAAATGGAACAATGGATAATGTGACAACTATGTTGCCAACTACTTCTACCATTAGACTACCCACTCCTCCACCTTTACCCTGCAACCACGATGGAGATTACTTCAATTGTATGTGGGCCTTTATTCCCATGGTCATCCAAGCAACGACATCTTTTGGCTGTTTCTTCTTTAGCAAAATAGCAGTTAAGCTTTTGCAACAGAGAATATGTTTCTCGATTCCATTAACTATTTGTACACCAGTCATGATCCTCATAACTTTGATCCTGAAAGGCATTAACGAGGACCTCTTCAAAATAAATGAATTTACATACTGGGCCTTGCCATCTGATACCTGGACCCCAATGTTCATTTTTCACCTGGCATTTGGATTGACCGTTTGGTGGACGTCACAGATGTGGCTGGCTAGGCACATATGGTACCCAAACAACGATAGGCTTGCAACAGCAGACAGGTAACAACACCAACTTAAAAAATAGTATTTATGCTAAACCATAGAGAACTCAATTGATTCTTAGAAACTTTAATAACAAAGTATGTCTTGTTTTCAGGTTTTTGAGTTAGAGAGGTAGCACGAATACAAAATCTACAAGACATAGTACAATACTGTTTGATTCATTGAACACCACATACATCAACGTTTCAAAATCCAAGAAGATCAATTCCATGATTGAGGAAGTTATTCTAAAATGAGAAAATTGCATTTCTGTGTCACCCTGTATAGTTGTACTATATCATTATAGTTGAGGCTCCCTTTGTAGAATATTTGTGATGCCGAATTATGATGCGGCCATTATCGAGCAATCGATGCTGTTCAATCGGAGAAGAAATGATAAAGACTTATATGAGGATGCGGAGGACGAAGAAGGCGAAGGAGAAAGTTCTAGTGGCGACACTTCACAGCGTAAGAAGGCAGACCTAGAGGACGTCACCACAATGATCTATTGCTGTGCAACCATGTGGCATGAAAACGAGAATGAGATGGTGCAGATGTTGAAGTCTGTCATGAGAATGGACACGGACCAGAGTGCAAGGAGACTAGCGCAGGATGCTTTTGGGATCAAAGATCCAGATTACTATGAATTCGAAAGTAAGAAATATTCGACCAAATCATTAGCTTCATGTCTGAGTTCCATGTTGACATTCAAATTTTTGATGACACTCGTTCTACATGTAATTTTGAAAAATTTTGAACTGACATACGAAGTGTTATGAAACAATTTCCAGAGCACCTGAGTATCATACTTTTATAGGAACATCGAAGTGTCAACAGCTTATATATTTTGAATAAGTATATAACTATATCATAGCTTAGATTTTGTTGTTGTTTTAAACACACGAAGTGTAAAACCTTTAGTACACGTTAATATAAATTGTTAATATAAATGAACTCTCAAAGCAGTATATCCAGGTGAGTACTTCAGTCAAAATCCCCTTTTAAGAGCCATATGTACAAGTTCATTTGGATCTGTTTCAGCTCATATATTCTTTGACGACTGCATGGAACAAACTGAAGATGATAAGTTTATTCCAAACCAATTTGTGAAGCAACTGTGTGAACTCATAGTAAGAGCAGCCTGGTAAGATATCATATTGTACTCTGATAACCAAATACTTCTCAGAGAAACCAAGACGTATCCGTTATCTCCAGTATCAGTTCATATCTAAGATAATGAGTAAAAGAACCATCTAATTCATTGATCAGAGTTGCTACACGTTTCCTTGTTTTTTCCATGCCATAATAGTGGGAACTGGATAGCAATCTTTAGTTACTCAACTCTCCCTGGGGTTACTCCAATGATGTTTTTTCATTTTTTTATATGGAGACGTACTTCAAAGACGTCTAAAACAAGTGTAAACTCAAACATTGAAGGTCAAATCTTAAGTTCAAGGCCAGTATAATCTCCTTTAAACGATTTTCAAAAAACAATTGGTCAATGTATGTGGCTTGTCAACTATTTTTGTGGTACAAATTGAAACGCTAATATCTTCATCAATTGTCATTTTAAACTAGTGGTGAAAACTTCATTAATATCATTACTAATATGTCTCTTACTTACAGCTCTGTTCACGAAATGTCAGTAAGAATAGCTGACCCCACCAAAGTTCCAACTCCTTATGGTGGAAAACTCATTTGGACATTACCGGGTGGGAATGTGGTCGTTGCACATCTAAAGGACAAAAATAGGATCCGACACAGAAAGAGATGGTCACAGTGCATGTATATGTACTACCTTTTGGGCTATAAACTTATGGGCATGAAAGAAGATGGCGCCTCTGACAGCTCAAGTATTGCAACTTCGAAATGGAACAAGAAGTTTAACAAATACACTCATCACGTCAAGAGTGACATCTTCAAGAATGTCAATGAAAGAGTGGTGCTTGAGGTAGATTTAAACAGCTTTCATGATCAGTGTATTTATCATTGTTGTTATTGTATATTTATCAATCATTGTCATTTGTTTATTTTTGCTTTCTCAAACAATGTTTTCGCGTGTAAACAAGAGAAATGATAATAAACGCCGATAAAGATATATTTTGAATTATATCGATGAAATGTCTGTATTTTGAAGGCTGAGAACACATATCTCCTTGCCCTTGATGGTGACGTTGACTTCAAACCAGAAGCCGTGCAATTACTGATTGATAGAATGAAAAAGAATCCAAAGGTTGGAGCTGCATGTGGAAGGATTCATCCAATCGGGGGAGGTGAGTTTTAACGTACTTGACTGGATGTGAAACAGAAGTAAAATGTTTTTGAGGTTTGACCAGGAAAAAGCCATCTATGTGTGGAGGGTATTTACTTGTAAGCCTCAGTTATTACGTGATGGGTTATCCTGTCTCAATATTATGAAAGTCACTCTACTCATAGATAAATTAGGTAGCATACGCGAATGACAACTGCCGGCTACTGATTTGATTGTAATTTAATGACCAATTCAACTCATTTACATATGAATAGCACATGCCGTGTATCCCGGTAGCTGCAAGTCAAACCCAATAGCTGAGCCATTCAAATAACGGTTAAATCTCTCTCTAAGCAGCAACTAGACCGACTTACGATGGGTTCGTAACATAACAATGGTAAAAGAGTCACATGATCACTTTTTGTCGACTAACGGGTTGTTCGTTATTTCAACTTCAAATTTATGGTTTAATTTGTGTAAATTAATAGGTTAATCTGGCAGCCGGCACTTACATTCGCGAATGCTTAGCAGGTACTTTTCATATGTTATTGAGTTGGCAATTAAATTGCAATCAACTTGGTAGCCGGTAGTTGCCATTTGGGAATGTTACCTTACGTCTCATAATTCCTTGATTTGTTATCAATGAAGTAATGCTATTCGATTACTAGAATGTATTGATAAATCTTAACTCATTTGCAGGACCAATGGTGTGGTACCAGACATTTGAGTATGCCATTGGTCATTGGCTGCAGAAGGCGGCTGAACATGTGTTTGGTTGTGTCCTGTGTAGTCCCGGTTGCTTTAGTATGTTCAGGGGCTCCGCTCTTATGGATGACAATGTTATGCGAACATATACCACCAAACCGACAGAAGCAAGACACTATGTCCAGTATGATCAAGGTAAGTTACGTATGTACTTCATGTGAGACTCACCTGATTACATTTATGTGTTCAGGAATAATTGTTGGATTTACACTAGAGCCCTAAGACGTTTTGGGTAAAACGTCTTAGCGTTAAAACGTTTTACAAACGAGTGTAAATCCATCGGTTTTAGCTAAGAGCTCTTAGCCCGGTTTTATGCGATGCGCTGAACGATAAATTTGAAACTTCCCGTTTACAAGCTGTGTCGCATGGTCCTTTCTCTCGTCTCATCCCTTGTTCTCATTATCATCCCATAAATATCGAGAAGAACTAATTCGCATGGCGTTCTATCATAATCCTAATATATGCAAAAAATCTTCCTGTTCTCTTTCATGCTTTTAACAATGCTCTCTTTGGGACATATTTTTGTGAAACCGATGCATTCTTTAGCATAAAGTATAGAAGCGGGAAAGGAATGGCTATATTGACTGAACCGTCCTTCAACCAGTGGTGAACTGCTTTTTTCAATTTACATGTATACCTACATATCTCTAAGACGTTTTAGAAAAACAGGTGTAAACTCACAGAAACTCAATCACATTTCGTAAGACGTCTTGAAAATGGTGGTGTAAACTCAACATAATTTAACGTTTTAGCCAAGCCATTTTGGAATGTCGCATGTAGTGTAAATAGGGCTAATGTTATACATGATTATCATGGCAAGTTTGATTATGATTGGTCGAGTGATTGCTATAGCAACACAGTTATGTGTTAGAATTTGTAAACATTTCGGATAAATCTACTGTATTTTGAAAAATAAATGACTGGTTGTACTTTTTGGGTCCATTTAGGCTGTATCAATTAAAGTCATATTTATAGGGACCATGGATACAAAGATAATTGCATATGGTAAGTTTGAACACAAATGGTCAAGTGGTTGCCATTGTAAAACAAAATAATGAATGTGAAAAGAAGGCTGGAGACATTTCAAACAACCAACCACAACAAAACAAAAAGCCAACCAATCAACCAACATGACATATTAACCATGAAAAATAGTTGCATTCCCAGAATAATGGTGCTTAAATTGTTTATTTTCTTCAGGTGAGGACCGATGGTTGTGTACATTGATTTTACAACAAGGCTGGAGAGTGGAGTACTGCGCTGCATCAGATGCGTTGACATATGCTCCCGAGGATTTCAAAGAATTCTTCAACCAGAGGAGGCGTTGGATGCCCTCCACCATGGCCAATATTATGGACTTGCTTCAGAGCTGGGGCCACAGTGTATCACATAACGACAACCTTTCCCACCCGTATATGGTCTACCAGCTTCTATTGATGATCTCTACGATTCTCGGCCCTGCCACTATCATTCTGATGATCGCTGGTTCTATCAATGCAGTCTTCAAAGCAAGTCTTGTGATTGCATATTGTGCTGCAGTGATTCCAGTTGCCATATTTGTGATAACCTGTTATGTAGCTAAACCAAACAGACAACTGGACTTGGCCTCGTTGATGTCAGCTATGTACGCTGTAGTTATGATGGCTGTTTTTGTTGGAATACTCATCCAAATCACACAAGATTCAATATTCAGTCCAAATGCCATTTTCCTAGTAATGATGGCATTTATATTCATAACAGCTGGTATACTACACCCCCAGGAAATATTATGCCTGCCTCCGGGGCTACTATTCTTTATAACAATTCCATCTGGGTATTTGCTGCTGGTAATCTACTCCTTTTGTAATCTGAACATAGTGTCCTGGGGAACTAGAGAAGTGGCTAAAAAGAAAAGCGAAAAGGAACGTGAGGTAATGCAAAAACAACAGGAAAAGATAGAACAAGCGAAAAAAGTTGGCTTAGTTGGTGGAATGATGGGAATGATAGCACTCCCGACTGATGATAGTGCGTGCTGTGGGATAAGACAATGCTGTAAATGCTGTGATGACTCATCAAAAGTCAACCAACAGCACCTTATGACACAGATCCTGGTAACACTGGAACGGATTGACGCTAGTAAGTCGACGAATCCTGCAACCCAAGCCCCTTCTACACCCATAAGCCCAATAGTGTCAACTCCAACGCCAGTTCAGGCTCAACCTCAAGCTATTGCAGCAGCGCCGGAGGTCCAGCCACCAAAACCTGCCCAAGAAGTTGAGGACATAGCCCTCGTTGAAAACCCTCTTGACCCTCACTGGATTAAAGACCCCGAGATCGGAAATGGACCAATTGAGTATCTTGACAAAAAGGAGTGGGTATTCTGGATCAAAATGGTAAATAAATACCTGAAACCACTGATAGAAGACCGGGATCAAAAGGCAAAGATTTCTGATGATCTGAAGTCATTGAGGAACGCTGTGACATTCGGCTTCTTCATGTGCAACATATTGTGGATGGTTGTGATGTTTATGGTTCAAACAGTGGCTGGTGAACTTAAAGACTCGATATTTATTCCAATCCCAAGACCACCTCCGCTTACCCCACTGAAATTGGAGCCACTTGGATTCGTTTTCCTGGCATTTTTTGCTACATTATTGGTCCTACAGTTCATTGCAATGTTGGTACATAGATATGGGACAGTACTCCATATTTTAGCATCTGTTGACCTTGATATGTGCAAACGTCGACCTCTATCACAGAATGAAGAAGGCCAGGATGAGGCTGTAAGTCCTGAAAGGGTGGTCAACTTTGTAAAAACATTACAAAGGTTACGTATTGATGATGTGGAAGGAGAACGATTTAATGAAGGAGGGAGTGTAAAAAGCTTGTCAGAAGTTATATCAGGGAGACCTAGGCCAATTGGTGAATCATCTGAAACTGAAAATGATGGCAATGGAGTTGAACATGAAACGAGGGCCAGGGCTCCCATCGACAGACGAAAATCTCGCATCGAAGGCTCCCATTTACACCAGCAATTTGTCCAACGATTTGGGACATATCGACGCAAGTTACATCAAGAAGGTGGAAACATGAATATGAATCAATTCATAAGTACAACTTTACGACGAGCAGCAGAACCTCCAAGATCACAGCCTCGATTCCGGAAGCATTCAAGAGCTGTTTTCGGAACTAATGCTAGGATGCATACGAGTAACAGATTGCGAGAAGCAGGAACTCGAGGATCAATCAGGCGCTATGATGAAGTTTCAAACCCTAGCATCGGTCGCTATTCCTCGGCTAATGGAAATGTTCCCAATCATGGAAACAACTTTGGCTACAGTAATAGCGATGATGATTATAGAAGAGATAGTAACCAAGGAAATGACTACCAGCGAAATTATTACAAACGAGATGACTACAGACGGGATGACTACAGAGGTAGAGCTAACTCCCGTGAACAGAATTACCGACCAAGGAACAATGGATACAATGACAGTTACTCAAGTCCCAATCATTATCCAGTATGATGACCAAAAGCCAAATTGGCCAGAGCACCTCAGCTTTTTAGTCATGCCATGTCCATAGACTGAATACACTGCCAGTTTCAATTCTGCTTCTTGCTCTCTTTCCAAATCATCCACTAAAGTGGGTTTAGAAATGTAATCAAGTGTTACTTTTTAGCATTATTTTACATCACTAAATCACAATTGAAAAAATTAACAGCTTGTCGTGGCAATAAATATATCACAAGGGTAGCATTTTGAGATCAAAAGTCTTTAACTGAGCAGTCACATTTATAATTATTTGCCCATGAGGCATCAGCATATGAAATGTTGATCAAATCTGTCAAATGCAGATCAAATCTGTCAACTAGTATTTGAGTTGTTGCTCTGAATAGCAAATGGATGGGCGAACAGATGGACAATGAACAGACGGGTGGCTTCTCTACAGCCCTTCTACAACTTTGTTCGTTTGATCGTTCGTTGGGATAGTTTCAAAGGTGGAGGCATTTAGACTTTTTCCTTTCAAGCTGTAAGGAATCGGTACAGAGCAAGTAAAATGCAAATGTAAACCAGATTACTGCGTTGTAGTATATCACAAACGAAAATAGTGCATTATGAATATACTACATACAAGCTGTGAAGTATGGAGTATTCTTTAGGTATATCTTCTTGGTTCTTTTTTGGTAGTGTCCATGAATATTTGAAATTCTAAATATATTTTTTGTTTGTTTTCGTTCTCTTTATTATGTAATGAAAGGCATACACATAAGTATAAACAAGAATCTTGCGACTTGGTGACAATCACATTGATCTACATCTGCATCAAGTTTTCTCAACAATTACGTAGCATTAACAGATTTGACCTGCTTTAATATACAAATAACATTTTGACATATGGTGCATTTGAAGCATGAAGTATGAACAAAAGTAATTTACGATTTAACCTCTTGAATACCCAGAATGACGGATATATCTGTCATAAATGAAATCCATTTGGAACCCAGAGCGACAGATATATATGTCACAGAATTTTTCACTAAAACTGCTCTTACTTTGGCATTTTTTATCCAATCTTCACAAATTAGGTTTTAGAATGTATGTAATGGGTCTATGTTTACTATTCTTATGAAATCAAATATCGAACATTGTGTTTTTAGATGTAAATATCCAGAAAAATAGCAGAAAATGAAAAATGCTCTGGTTTCAAACCCTTTTAGAGGCTGGTATTCAAGAGGTTAATGGATTAACTCACGTGTATGCGCTAATGCATTGCACTTATATTTAAGTTGTTTATATGTATATATAAGTAGTATACTGTAGCTGGCTACATATTAAAATATTTAAAAAAAGACAAATATATATTTTTTCTAACTAAGTTAATAATTAAGCAAACTAGAGATATACAGATTCCGAAGCCTCGAGAAGTAAAGACACTTTTGAGAATGATATACTTTATGTTCCAGTGGAAAGTGCCAGTGATGTTAAATTGATCATTTCTCATTAAGAAATGGTATTACAAAGTTTGACAAAATATCTACTTGTATTTTCAGGATGTAAATCAGAAAATATATGAGTAGTCTTTAATTTTGTAGACTCTTGCTTGGCAGTAGCATTGGAATTTGATATATATGATGCTTATATGAAGCTCTTTTAGAAAAGGCTCACAATTAATTGATTACTTTTCAATAGAAATAATAAAAAATAGTTTTACCCTAGTTTGCTAAATTATACCTGATAATAAAAATAACAGAAAATGTCTTTGATTAGTATTTATATTCAGTCTGATCAAATATGTATATACTCGATTTATAATATATCGTATATGTAGTAGTAGCTAAGTACCAAACTGTAGATGTTAAAACATGAATTGTACATTTGCTGCATATGCTGATACAGTTAGATATTGGAATGCATTTATACATCTAATAAAATGTATGAAATAGTTTTATTTGTACAATATAGTCCATTATTATAAAGAAATAAAGATAATACATCATCCTCAATTATACAAAAAGTTAATGATAACAAACGTACTCACTGTACTTTGGCAAATTATAGTTATGTATTTATATGTACAAGAGAGAAATAAAGAATTAAAATAATTTAGTTTATGGTTATTGTAAAGATGTCAACGCCCCAGATTCATGAATACACAGTCAATACATATTCCGATGTTTTGACCAATGCCAGTTTGTCCTTCTACCTCAATATTTGATAAGGTGTAAATGCCAATGTACCCGGCTCCCAGCTTTAAAAAGTCCACTTTGTTAATCTTGTCCATAGTGTTAGACCTATCATTTATTGACATAAAGCAAGGTTCGTGTAACTGCATGTCCTAAATTTAAACACTTAATTAATAAAAAATAGAATGAATAAAGAATGAATTTCACTTCTATTTTCACAATATTATTAATAAATTTCACAAATATGGATATATTTGAAGACCCTAAAGGGCTTAGTTTCAGAAATATCTTTTGTCTTTTGTCTGAAAATGATAAATTATCTCAATTTTCTCTGGAATAAGTATTGCTTTAATTCCCATCACCATATGGCATAGTTTCATTCGCTACCTTTGTTTAACATATTATTTTTGTATTGACCATATTCAAAATGCAAATTGTATTTTGACTCCCTCATTAATTAGGCCCAGGTATGCCTTGAATATTTGAGTTAGGCTAACAATCATCGTCACTTTGTTGTTAGATCACATCCACAAGAAGTTCATTTTTAAAGCTGACACTCTCCGCTTTCCTATGGTGTATTGGAACCTGCATCATTCTTTTTCATTAAGAAGTGCACTTTGAGACTCTACTTTGTTTTAGCATTCTATAACCCTGAATCTATTGTTACCGATATCGTTCTCCTTTTGGTTATAATTTAACGCACTGCGGATTTATTTACGTCTTAGTTGAACCAACTTTTGTTGAATAGGTCGATGTGTATTTCCTACCAGATTGCGTTCGCTGCGTTGCGTTTATATTGTTTTGCGTTTACTTTGCGTCTACAATTGTGTTCAACTGATAATAACACGCACCTCAAGCGATGTGTTTTGCGACCAAACGCAGACGCACCGCAAATATTTTGCGACCAAATGTTAATGAGGCCTCAGTACTGAAACGTGTGTCTCATTTTTTCAAAATCGTTTTTCATGAATATCACAAAATGTACAATACATATGCTAATAACGATAAAACATCTCAATCCCATTTGATCCCTTTGATCCACCTTAATCCATATTGATTCTCACCATGCCATGCCTAAATGCGAGAATGTGTCATTATTGAATCAGTTTAAGGCAGTCTCTCGCTTAATCAATGTTCACAAAATTAGAAACCTGGTAGATGGAAGTTTTTCTAGAATAGAGTATGCCAGACTAAACTGAAGACTATCTATTTAATAGTGTAGCTACTTGGGAAAAAACAACAACAAACAACATGAAATAGTCATTATATTGCCAGTTAGTTTGTGCACTTATATTATATTGGATAATGGCAGACGTGGGTAAGCTGAATACATTTTCTTATATTTAAGTTTGGTCAAAATGTTTTAAGGATATACCAGTGTAACCCTTACGACAATGGTGATATATTTTTTAATTACAGAAATAGAAAATTAACACCTCTATGAAAAGCTCGTTTGTTAACTTCACGTTTGACAAGTGTTCTGTATTAAATATCAAGGACGCAGAATGACGATATATGACGCTTTACGACATAGTAATCCATAGCAACTAAGAGATTCTCATTTTCAATGTTGTTTTATCATGACGTCATATAACACTTTTGTTAATGGGTTCTCGGAATATGATGCCATTATCTGTGACGTCAGTGACATATTGCCCCATCAACAAATAAACAAACAAATGAACTATACGTTATCAATTCTTCCAAATAATTCAGTAATTTTTTGTATATTCTTGTTTCATTCCAGTTTCGCGTCCGTTTCTTTCGTTTATCCCAGCAGTATATCTGTATGTGCCCATGTATTACAAACACGACAAATCTAATTTGTAACTTGCTTCTTATTTCGCTACAGTCTGTATGAGTTTTCATTAAGTTATAGTCTATTGCCTATGTATTGACCAGGGGTATTTAATATCAAAAGGCAACTGTAAAATACAGTATTCTATTTTGGAATTTCTATAATTCATGTATACACTTATTACATGAACCACGGACACTTAAAGTCCGTGCATGAACATTCATTTATATGTCGTTTTTCCTTTCTGTCAAAACAAATACCATCAGACATGTCAAACAAGCCATTCAAACCTTTGTTCAATTCATGTTATTATTCTATATTTCTTATAATTATAGTTATGAGTTAAAAATATTTTCCCAGTGAGTATTAACGACCATGATCGGACATGCCGGATACAATGCGAAAAACGTCCACAGCCGTTCACAAAAACCAGAAACACATTATTCGTGTACTAAATTAAGTAGACGTATCTTGCTCAAATCCGACAGCTTTACATAAGTGGGGGCCTCGGGGTGAGGAATGCACAGGGAATGTACAACCCCACCCGAAAATCATCAAAAAGCACGCATGCTATCTATCACGAGTGAAATCATTCATGCCTGATCTGTGAGGTTACACTTGTGAAGGCAGTTCATTAAGACAGGACATGTTGAGTTTTCACAATTGTTTACCTCAAATGTAACGTTGTCCTTTCCCGAAAAATGAACAGAAATATTAGCATATTAGAATAGGAGTCAAATATGGCTATTATTAGCCATTTTAAATCATCGTTTATTGAATGAATGTCTTACTGGGGCATCTAGCCCTCAATTTATTCATAATTTATAATATTTTGGAATGATGTTTATCATGTGGACTTAGCTAGTTTATGTTTTTGTGAGCAGTCGATTTTGTTAATTTTTGAGAAAGACGTCATATATTTAGTTAAATTATGACGCGAATAGACCAGTGGCTTTTGTATCATTGTTAAAGCACACCAATCTTCAACGGCATTTTCAAGCGTAAAACAGACCGTTGACCCTATGTTTTTTTTATATCAAAATAAACATGAGAACACCTTTTTTAGAATAAGCAAATAAAAAAAATACCACAATCCATTGGAAATTTGCGTAATTTTCGATTCAAAACGTGTCAAAATGCGCAAATGAAAAAGATATGTTTCTAATGGAAAAACGTTACAAAAATTCACAAATATTGTTGGGGTAGGGGTAACACTTTAAGTGAAAAAAGTAAGAAAAAATGTCTTGAGTGTTCCAATATTCGAACCAATGTAATTATGTATAAAGGAAGTTTATCTAGGCTCGAAAAAAATCGTCAATACTCCCTAAATCATCATTTTATCGACGAAATATAGGAAAATATGTTTTTTTGCTTTGGAATTAATGGCGCCTCAAATGTTCAAATGATGATAACGTCACACCTATTTTCAGAAGCTTCTCATGAAAAATCTAATCCGTTGACCTACCTTTTTTATTACATTTTTCGAATCGCTACATCTAGGTCTATAATAAAAACCTAGTTTCGTTGAGATTGAAAATGGTCGATTTTTTCGGAGGTTACACTGGTATATCCTTAAGTGAAAAACTCATGTCATTTTGCTCAGTGGAGAAATCTTGGAAATTTCTACATACAGAATGTACGTTTAAGAAATGTTTCCTTTTTTATTACACACATGACAAAAGTATTAATTATTGTGAACAACAATCTAGGTTAAGAGATCAGAAGTTACAACCCTTCTCAAAGCTTGTTTCCATCGCTAATTCATAAACAATTTTCACAAGGTGTTATTATTTCAGAACTTCCATACTTCAACTACGTCGTGACGGGGTTCGTCGTACTGACATGTATCGCCCTAGCCCTGACGCTCGCTGGCATTTGCGTTTTCTTCTATATAGTCTGCAAGAGAAAATACCCCTACAACAAAGCGTACAAAGTCTCTAAAAAAACACTCCAAGATACATCCAAATATTTTCACGATTATGACACCATTTCAAGCAATGCTAGCAAGGCGGGTAAAACGTCTATGAATGGATCACAACCGAAAAAACAACATAAACAACGTTCAAAATCGAACTATGATAGGGTGCGAAAGGGTAAAGAATTATATTGGGTTCCAAGAAGAAGTCTGTACGTTCAGAATGGCCGAGTTAGCCAAACAAGCCGCAGTAGCACCACGCCTAGTCGGTCAAGTCGCGGTCGAAATGTACGGGAAGTGGTTTCCGCACGGTCGAAGCAGCAAAACCCCCATGAATATTCAACCGACATCGAGGCGCCTATACAGAGCAAAAACGGTACAAATAATTCCCCTCGAGTGTCAAAACAAGTTGCCTATGTTGAGAGGGAAAAGCTAAATAATCCACAAAGGAACGATCAAACCCCAATCGTTCTTCCAATATCTGTAGAAGTGAACAAGTCATCGGGTAATTCTTCGTATCATCAACGTGACACTTCGAATGATGAACGCCCTCTCCCGACCACGGAAGCAGATCGTGTATCGAACGAACCAATATATGATAACAGACAACGGTCAATGTCATCATTGGACGATCAAGAGAAATCAGTAATTGGAGCTGTGAACGATGCGATACGGAATGAAAATGGTTACGCTATCTATGACAATGGAAGTCTTAAGTACCCTGAGTCACTCCAATCAACATCTGCGTTTACGACAGAAAATCATTCTGTCTCGGTCCAAGAGGAAACAGCAACAGTAGTTCATCGACCGAAGAACTCTTTGAGCAAGGTTATTGCAAGACCGAATGAATCCATTCGATATGGCAGTGATGATTATTCCATCATACAGAAAGGAAAGAGAGGAAATGTTTCCAGGAAGGTATCCGATTCTGAGATTTATAACATACGAAAGGACAAGGAAAAAGACTTAGCCATGTCACCAACAGCCGGGTTGCGCATATCGAATACAAGTACGACAACTATTGAAGAGTCAAAACCAAACTACCCAAAGGTAACATTCAAGGTCAGTGACATTGTCGATGAAAATCAATATGATGAAGTAGCAAAGATGGAACCAGGAACCCAAGTACGAGTTACTGAACTACAACGAGTAACCGAACAGCTTCGAGTCACCGAAGTACAAAAGCATGATGACGAACAGCTAGCTGTTCAAGAAGAACAAAATGTAACAGGTGAAACAGATGTTTTAAATAACGCTGAGAGAATTTCATTGCACGTTGAGCCAACCTCAATTCCTGATGGGGCAATAAATGCGGGAATGGGAACCATTGATAACTCTGAATCCTCAGAAAAATCAGCGACTGAATCAGCTGATCAAGCGTCAACAAAAGAAGCTTCAAATAATGTCATTAAGCAAGAGCGCCAGCGTTCTTTGGAAAACACAAAAGATCAAAAGATCTCAAACGGATTCGACAACGGGGAAAATTCCCAGCGTCCAAAGCAAGTCAGATGGGAAGAAACAGAAGGCGACGCGAGCATCCTATCGGGAGAAACATTTGAATCCACGGGTGACATGATTATGGGTCTTCATCGGCAAAATGAAAACAATGGCTCGTGGAAAACCGAAGACAGATCCAGCTTTTTCTCCGATGATTTCACAACTGATGATGAAGCATACTCAATCCTTGAACCTATATTATCTCGGAAATCGGTCCAGCAAGATCCGTCAATGAGTGAATCTATTATACTAGACGGACACCCGAAGCACACATCTGTCCCTCCCAAAATCATCAGAGAAGGCATGTCTGCAATGCATTATTAATACATCTTCAGAACATAGTACAATGAAAACATGAACAAATAACGAACTTAAAAAAAGTAAATGTATTTACAATATTTATATACTATTTATTTTATACGAAGCTCCTTAGCATGTACAGTTTCATTCATGTTAGACATTTTGTGAAAATAAAACAATCTGGTGTAATAAACATGTTTGTCCTGGACCCATCCTTTTTACTAATGAGCAAACACACTCTCCTAAATGATTAAATGACATGCCCATGGATGAACAGAGCTTTAAAATTAAGTTTGATGTTTGTTGAATTGAATTCGATGAGTAATAATTATATTTGCCGACATATTAAGTAGATACAGTAAACAAACAATATGATACTAACTTTTTCAGTTGAGAAAAAACTACTGGAATTGAAAAATATATTGAACAGCCGTAATGTTTCTGAACTGACACCCAATCTGATGATATCCAATGTTAAGTCAATACACACTAGCTACAATCTTAATATTCTCAATAAAAAATTAGTAGTAATTTTTATTCTACATTCCTAAATAACCAATATAATAATATTTTCAGATATCAAATCTCATTTCTACCGAAAACAAGAATTCTGACATTGTGTATTATAATGGGGTTACTGCACTTAATGACCCCCATATCGACCTATCTGGGTTCAAAGTCTTAATAAATATTCTCCATATACAATTTGGCATTGAATTAGCCATTGTAAACCTAGAAGTAATACATTTTGGCCATTGGGGTATTTGTCATTTTGTAATGATTTTCAATGAAATAAATGACCCCTTGGTGATGAAAGGATTAATATCTAATTTTGCATTCATCAAAAATTCAAATGGAGGTCGGATAATTAAAGATGACACTCTCAGCTTTAAACGTTGTATTGGAACCTTCGTGCAGAGGTCGTCACAGAGTGACTTAAAAAGGGTCATTGGGTGCACAGATCCGGAGAAAGATCCAGCCCCTATTGGTAGTAGGCTCAAAGAATAAATTAGTATAATTATTGAGCCTAGACAACCAAGAAGAGGTAATCTGGCAGAGGTCCGTGATTGGGTGTAAGTCCCCATGAACACAAACAAATACATAGAAGCACACAAACAACTATTTATTTCTGTCACATATGACAATTAGCCAGTCCTAAAAGGGATGCAACAGGAGTGGCTAGTTTGGAACATTTCACATATAGATTCCTGATACAGTTCACTTACATAGATACTTAGATAGCATCAAACCGCATCGTTTACGGCTAGCACATATCTGGTAAATGTTTTATAAAATCAAACAGGAAGTTAATGACTTTCAAATGCAAAATAATTTGTATCGATGGGTCATCTCGATCACTAATACTAAGTGAAGGCTGTAAACGGTGTATAAAAGCGGCAATTTCAAAATCTGCCTTGGAAATAGGATTAATGCTTAATGCGTTGCTTACACAACTATCGAGACAATATCCTTTTTATCATCTACACATACAGAGTGGGTTATTAATATTTGTTTGGGCTACCTTTTTTGGCTCACCCTGTATATAAATATTATTGAGTACCCAAAATGCCATATAGTTTATGAAGTATCACGAAAACAAATAAAAAAAATGACCGTTACATTTTGTGAATATTTTGTATGGGGTAGAGATGTGATGATTATCTAGCTCATGGCTTCGACTATTCAGCATTCTTGTCCATACTGAACTGTAATAAATGATTTTACTCTACTGAAAAGAATAAATTAATGGGGTAAGAATTCCTCCTTCATAATTCGGACAGCCTCTCCAATAAGCTTCGGCATTAATTTTTGTCATTGCTTTCATTTTTTAAACAGTATCAATATTCTTGTAATTTCACCGTCGTCATATAAAATGACCCAATAAACTAGAAAATATAAAAAATAGTTTAAAAACTTTTAAATAGAATCCGCTTTAAGAGAGCATAAAGTATGTAACATCCCATCTATATAAGACACTTCGGATCACAATCCTGTCACATATGTTAATGTTGCTTCAAAAGAACAGCACACTGAGTTACAACTCCATAAGTTAGAACTGCCAAAGGACAAGGTGCAATTATTGGCAAATACCCCTATGGTCAAAATGAATCATTCGTAGGTGTAACATGAAGAATAAAATGTCATATAATACTTTGGAAAATAGTAAAGTGCTCGGACACACATAAGCTGAGATAGGGATCATTTCGTTCAGTAAGGTTGTATTGACTTACATGGGGCTGTGCACCATTGACTTAACATGAGGATATCAGCAGATCCCAATAAAGGCCATTGGTTTCCATTGATTATCACAGAAATACCAAAAATACACTATGACCTGAATCGATTGCAAACTTAATAATTTCACAATACGACACAAATGGTTTATCTCATCAAATGTGCAAATATGAAGTTTGCAATCGATTCAGGTCATACTTAAAATTAAAAGATTGTACATTTTTTCATCATTTTTTCCCTACAAAATGGCTATAGAAAAATGCTCCAAAAACAACTTTTACACTTATCAAATTTCATACAAGTTTGTAAAACCAAAGATTATACTATTATATTTCATTATGTAGTAACATATTTGGATAAGACGCAGGGATGCGTAGGATGTAAATGGATTTTGACAGACACAAAAGTACTTCCTGGTTTGGAATCTATGCCTCTACACTTCATGATTGAATTATGACCCTAATAAGTGGCCTATACATCAATACAGTGCTGAATATAGGCCAACAAGATACTAAAGTGCATATAAATGTAATAATTGAAGCAGAATACTCATTTTGAAAAATGAGATGAATTATTTTTTTCCCATGGGGAGATCCCAATGGAGGGTGTATAAGGTCCTTTATTGTTGCTGACGTAATGGCGCTATTCACTGGAAAAATGCAAAAAATTAAGTTAAGGTACATGTGGAAAGAAAACATTTTTGAAAAAATTGCTTTACCTGCAGATGTTATTTTCTGGAACAAAATAAAGTATAAATTATTACCAATATTTCTGAAAGGAATAAGAAGCAACTTTTTCAAAAACGTGCCAATGACACTTTCAATCCTAATTTTATTTTTCTGAAGAAGGAATTGAGATATCTGGTCAAATATAGAAGTACGAGTTTAATCCAATTTATCAAATTCGTCGGATTCAAAAAGGGAACAGACACGTTATCAATATTTTGTCAGCTAAGCCAACGGTGTAGGATTTGTTCTGACTTTTTGTCGGACCTTTCGGAAATAGGCATGACGTGGAACAACAAGAACAAATAATGTTTAAAATTTGAGACAATTTTGTGACTAAAGCCTCAGTCACATTTGCTCTGGGGCGGGCGCGCGACGGCCGTAGCTTCACAAAATCGATATAGGAACTTCCTATTAACTATAACTGCATATTTCTCTCGATTTTGGGAAGCTACGCCTGTCGTACGGTTGCCGTAGACCAAATGTAACTGAGACTTATTCTCACCTCGTCTTTATTCATTCTAGTTGATTTAATGATTTTGAAATTTGCACATGAATCCAGATAATTAATTCTATCGTATGATCTGTAAAATGAAGCCCTCTGATTGGTCAGTTCTTGTGCTGTACCAACCTGTATTGCTACTGAGATTGTCTCCGTTGATCATCTCTGTCGCAATACAGAAAATATTGGTACAGAGGGGACAATCTCAGTAGCAATACAGACGATCACACGATAAAAACGTTATTGAATGATTTGAAGTGCAATACAGGATATATTCTGTCTTGATATTCTGTATTGGCACTCGACTTCGTCTCGTTCCAATACGGAATTCTCGAGCAGAATATATCCTGTATTGCACTTCAAATCATTCAATAACTTATAGTATTGAACTCAAATTATATACGCAGTGTTCTTATATACTGTACAGTGTGTACATACCTGTGCAGAGAAAACAAGCCATTAAAATCCATATTGGTTTTCCTGCTTCCATATTGTATAATAAAATTGAAAAAAATGTTTCCACCGGCTAGATTATTTTGCTGAAGATGCATTGTCCTTGGTCAATTTATGGCCTGATTACAGTATCAGAAACGGGCTGGCATGGAGAGTCCTTGGAACAGACCTCAACATACATTTTAATAATCAAGACCAACTTCAATACAAGAGATAATATATAAACTCCAAAAAGATTCCAAAAGGGAGGTCAAGTTAAACGTTTTTTAAGAGAACCTGTACGTAGGCGTATATTTCGACCCCGGGATTGTTGTCCCGCACTCAATTTACGTTTCCAGGAACCTAATAACAACTATTTTTCGTGTACATTTATACTCAATCAGCCAAGTAAATACTACAAATGGGAGAACTTATCCACAGAGGACTATTATTCTACACGTTTACGCACAAGTTTTCAAAAACGTGTATTTTGACCTCCCTTATATTAAACAAGACGGGTAACATGTTGATGGTTCACAGTTCTGAATAATAAGTAAGCGTTGAAGAGATGGACATAGATAGGCAATATACAAGCACATATCATGTACATGCATGTATAAGTAAATTATATTTGCAATATTTGATATCCAAATTATCTTCATTTGTGTTTTGTCGTCGCTGCTCCGTCATGTCTTGAAAGGATCCGTGACCATTAGTCTATAATATTTCCTATATAAGAAAATTTCAAATATGATCACTTTGACTGAAGTTTTCGGGTTAATTTTAGGAAACAACGCAGGAAAGGAATGGTTGCTTAAATCCTTTTCACACATTGCATAATATTTTCTTCCATGTCACTTAAAAGATACAAAATCACTCAAAGAACATGTTTTCAATGAAACTTTTTGCAAAGGTCAAGTTGGCAAAGTATTAATTTCAATCTGTAGAGTCCAGTTGTCACCTTGACAACCGTTTAACTAGTGACTTTGAGTTGGTTATTATGGCACCACCAAAAAGTGACATATTGTCATGGTGTCCGTTTTTGACTGCGGTCAGCTGATGGTGGTTGGCGCTTAGTGGTTGGCGATTGGCGTCTGTAACAAATTCTTGCAACTTCCAATAACTTAACAAATACTGTTTAGACTGACTTCAATTTTTTCAAAATCATCTACATGCTTTTAGAAGCTCAAATCTGACTTTAGATTTTAGATTTCACTTTCAATTACCTTCTCTGGGTCAAAAAAGTTCTTTTTTCAACTTGCTTCAAATTGACCAATTTATTTTTCAAAATCATCTACAAGTTCTCAGAAATTCAAATCTGACTTAAGATTGAACTCATAATATTGTGAGCAACTAGGTGGTGACATTTTGTCATGTTAATGCCTTGTTGGTTACATAATGTAATGCAGTGATATGAAATAGCGTGTTCGGATTGGATGGAATTGGACACACCTTGCCTAGCTATGTGTGAATCCTTAATTAAGATAACAAAATAAGCTTTCGATGTGAACGCTTTTCATTACCATTTTTTAAATCTTATTGATAAAATCTTAGAAAAATTATTTAATCACAAATTTACTTGAGGCAGAGGCATTCTGTTTGCAACATATTGCTGTTTTGTGGATAAACATTTTTAATTGCAAATTATAGCAAAAATGATCATTTCTAATGCATTAACATAGACTTGATTATACTAGACGGACACCCGAAGCACACATCTGTTCCTCCAAAAATCATCAGAGAAGGCATGTCTGCAATGTATTATTAATAAAGACAAATCATATACCATGTGATTCTGTAAATATTATGTGATTCTTTGCATGTGTTTTGGGGCATGTGAAGTTTTCAAATCCAAAAAACTCATCAATGTCTTTCTAAAAATAAGTTTAGTATTCAATTAGGCGAATTTGATATTTTCAGAACATCACCAGACTCATTTCATTCAGTAGATTTTTGTGAAAATGTATCAAAATAACTATCAAACAATATAGATTTAGGTTTTGAGAATATCTAAATTTGGCAACCCTTTAAAAAAGCAAAATACAAATTAAACCAGGTGTCAAATAAAACAATTTACAATAAAAAAATTAAGCACAAAACCCCATGCATTGTTGCTGCTTCATTCCACTTAGGCGTTGTTTCCTCAAGTTAGATACAATACCTTCAAGGGAATGATTCAGCATACAATGCATAATAAGTCCAGGGCTTAAATCCTTAAAGGTATGTACTTAGAAATAGTAAATGTATTTTTAACGTGTAAACATTTATTTTATATAATGTTCCTTAGCATGTGCAGTGACATTTATGTACAACATTTTATTGAAAATAAAAACAATTTGGTGAATTTAACATGTGAGTCCTGGACCCATCTAATTTACTAATAATGAGCAAACACCCTCTCCTAAATGATCTTAAATGACATGCCCATGGATGAACAGAGCTTTAAAATTAAGTTTGATGTTTGTTGAATTGAATTTGATGAGTAATTATATTTGCTGAAATATTAAGTGGATACAGTAAACAAACAATATAAGTTTTTCAATTGAGAAATAAAACTCCTGTTGTAAGAGAAATAAATTGAACAGCCGTAAGGTTTCTGAACTGAAACCCCAAAATTGATTCATAATTTAATTTTGAATCAATGCAGCAAATGTCTATGAAGATGTGTCTGATGTGGCCATTCCTACTCGATAATAAACATGAGCATATTCCTATTCTATACTAAAAATTATCACGTAAACTATTTTCATCATCAATTTCAATCGGTTCCTTCAGATGATTATTCTGTTCATTTTCCCTTTTGTTGGAGTCATTTACTGATTTTTGATTATCCCCTGTTGAATTTTGTTTCTTATAGAGACCATTGTCAATGAGGTACTGCTTGCTGTGGTGCATTACAGCTCCATGTTCCATTTGAAAGTCACACAAAGCTGACATTGGCCTCGTTAAAGGCTGAAACAAGAAGTTAATTGTTACATCGGTTTTTAGTTGTTATGGTTTCTTTATTTAAACAAACATTACAGTACAGTGTATATACAAGGTGGTCAAAAAATGGACAACTTGCATTTTCCTCACATCTTTGTCATTTTAGGAAATTACTCCCTGATATTTAATACATTTCTACATCATTCAATTTTCTATCAACCATTCATATTTCATGACCATCAGACTGATAGTCACAATGTTACAACACTTTGAAAAAGATGCTCCAGGTGTGGCCATCATCGCACGCGCTGTAGGCAAACCTCGCCAATGACCTGACTGCTTTCATCAGCAGGTATGGCTTGAATGACATGGATGATCTCACTTTTGAAGTCAGCAATCATCCTGAGGTCATTCTCATACACTCAATCTTTGGCCTATCCCCACAGGTAAAAGTCAGGTAGGGACATTTTGGACGATGTGTGCAGGTTTGCCTGCAGTGCAAAAGTGGCCACTATAGCAATGTGACTACCAGTCAAATGGTCATGAAACATGGTAGGCTGATAGGAAATTGAATGATGTACAAATGTATAAAATATTAGGGAGTTATTTCCTAAAATACCAAAGGTGTGAGGAAAATAGCAGAAGGGTTTTGACCACCCTGTACTTTAAACAACATCGTCAGGGCCTAAACCAAGGCATTATTGGTCCCATTAGTAATATGAGTACCATAACAGATGGCTCTTTTTGTTTGGTAAAATCAACTCATGTAGAAGGACATGCTATTTTAAATGATTTCCATTATTTTGCAATACATATCATGACAACACTTACCTCTATAATATCAGGCCTGTTCTCCAATATTGCTATAGCAGTGACTGCAGTCTCTAAAGTTGATAAACAGCCATCACTGGGTTGGGTCCGTATCACATATTTACTAGTCCCAGTGTTGCATAGTTTTACCTTGAACAAATTAACATGCACATAATTGTTTGTTTTTGTGATTTTTTTCATTACTTTTATTTTAATTTACTATATAAAACAAAAGTATGATGTTTCATTTGTATTTACTACTCTTATGAATTACAGTAAAACCTGTATAAGTGGAACACATTTGGTACACCTAAAAATGTTCCACTTGGAAGGTGTTCCTCTTATCAAAAGTTCATTTAAGGTGCTATGGAAGTTAACAGGAAATGACAAAACAGGAAGTGACAAATTTTTTTGGAGTTTTAGACATTTTTTGAACAAAGATAACAGAGTTCTGTTTTGACCTCCAGTCAATTCAACTAGTTCCAAATACCATTTACAGGTCCAGGATCACAATGTTCATGGCCAGAATGACCCTAAACATGAAGAAATAACCTTTTCAGCCCTCTGAAAATGTGACTGAAAAATAGCTAAAAGACGGAGGTAGGAAAGGTCAATGAACAGAATCTTTCGAATTTTTCAGAAAATGTGCCCAATATATTGCTCTAAATGATACAATCTTTGAAAATTTGATATCATTCATAGAAAAAGAAAAAGAAAAAACTGATTTGAAAAGCGATCTTTTTTCCTTTTTATGACCGCTTTTTTTGTTTCAGACAATTTTCTAAAATTTCAAAGATTGTATCAGTTAGAGCATTATATTGGGCACATTTTCTGGAAAATTCAAAAGATTCTGTTCAGTGACCTTCCCTGCCTTCCTACTTTAGCTTTTTTTCAGTCACACTTTCAAAAGGCTAAAAAGGTTATTTCATCATGTTTAGGGTCATTCTGACCTTGAACATTGTGATCCTGGTCATGTAAATGATATGTGGAAATAGTTAAATTGACTGGAGGTCAAACCAGAACTCTGTTATCTTTGCTCAAAAAATGTCTAAAAATGCAAAAAATTTTGTCACTTCCTGTTTCGTCATTTCCTGTTAACTTCCATGGCACCTTAACATTTTGGTGCTGGGACTCTGAAAAGTGTTCCACTAACAGAGGTGATGTGATCAACTTCTAGAGGTGTTCCACCTTACAGTTTCAGTTTGGAATTACTGTTTATGTTTGTCTTGATGTTTACAATGTATAAATGTATATGTATGTTTGTATAAACAATAAAAATACCTGTTTTAAGCAATGTAACATAGTATTCTGATGGTAGATCCCACCTGCTTGTGGCCAGGTGCCATCCAGCAGAACTATGTTGTACTTCCTGTCCTGTGGCATGGTTGCTATGTCAACTGCCTTTGGGCCTGGGTATAAAAGAAGTGTTTCTGGGGATTTCAAGAGGGTCTCTAACCTAGGATGCCTATAAAGTTTAATGAATATGCGGAGGTTTATACAGATAGCTAGTTTCATCAATTCCATAGAATTGGGGCTCAAGTAACTAGATCTAACCATTGGGTTTCAAGAAAATTCACAACAGCAGCTATTCAAAATAGTATTACTAAATTAGTTTTCACCTGGCAATTCTAAAATGTGATATCATTTATACAGGGCTGTCAACTTGGGACCACCTAATATGAGTGACTTCAAAATGTTGGACACCTAAGTCCAAATCTGAACACTTTTGTCCAAATTTTGAACACCTTTGGCCAACTTTTAAACACCTTTGGCCAAAGTTTGAGCACCTTTGCCAAACTTTGAACACCTCAAATTTTTCGCGCTCGCTACGCTCGCGGTGTCGTCAACGGGGGGGGGGGGGGGGGGTAGGTACGAAAAATTTCCAATGAACATGCGTGATACATACGGGATTCGCGTGACAAATCCGAACAAATTGCGTTCGGTTTTTCCCGGCGTTCGTATTTTTACCGTATCGTAAACATATTTCGAAAAAATTTCTACACAAATATTTTTGCTTGACAATTACCAGGTAAAATGCGTATTTTGCGTGACATTTTCTGTCACGCAAAAAAAACTGGCGTGACTTCAAATTCTTCAGCAAATGCGTGACAAATACGCAAATTGCGGGACAGTTGACAGGCCTGTTTATAGCACACATGTGTTATAATAAAGACACAAAATATGTCTTTATAAGTGAATGCATTTAATTTATCATCCTTACTTTTTATATGAAATTCTTTTCCCCACATATACTGTACATTTGCCAGGAGCAAGTCCATGTTCAAGAATACGAGCGGTCTGAAGGCAACGGGAAACCTAAAGCACATAAACATTATATTAGGATCATATCAAAATGTCAATATCTGACTAACAGACAACAGACATTGTCCCATTTTGTGTGATAATATCTGCCGGACATTGTCTGATTTTGTCCCATGAAAAGAACGAACATTTTGATTCTTTTCATGGGACATTACCGGACACATGAGGCCATTTTATAATGTGACAATCATATGACCATTTTCTGACAAAATGGTACTATACTCCTGACACCATCAGACATAACAGGACATCATCGGACAAAACAAGACATCAAACATTGTTTGGTGGACAAGTTCGGACAAAATGGACAAACAGACAAAGCCAGACAATGTCCCATTAATTTAAAGCTAGCTTAAGAATTAGATCTCACCTCAAAAGGATGCTGTATAATGTGAACTGTTGTATGTACATCAATTCTCTCTCTTGGAAGATATGGACACCAGCATACTGTTTTGGGACGTCTGGAAAACAAATTGTAATATTTTCGAAAAAAATAACATGGCTGAAACATCCTGAATAACAAAAGGCCACAGCTTTGCTGCACATTATACATAAGTATCTGAAATATACAAAAGTCTTGTGCATATCTTTCTATTTTTTCATAAACTGTTGCAATGTGGTCATTCAATTGCTTATTTTTTAGATTCAAAGTTGTCAAAAAAATGTGTGGAATACTAAAGATGAGACCCTATCTGTTGCAAGACATGCCTGGCCTTGCAACCATTGTCACGGTCACATCAGGCTTTAACATTACCACAGTCATGACAGGCCTTGCATCCATGGTCACGGTCACATCAGGCTTTAACATTACCACAGTCATGACAGGCCTTGCAACCATTGTCACGGTCACATCAGGCTTTAACATTACCATGGTCACGAAAGGCTTTGCAACCATTGTCACAGTCATATCAGCCTTTAACATTACCACAGTCATGACAGGCCTTGCAACCATTGTCACAGTCACATCAGGCTTTAACATTACCCCTGTCATGTCAGGCCTTGCAATATAGTATAGCATTGTCACGGTCATATCAGCCTATAACATTGTCACGGTCATATCATAACATTACCACAGTCATGACAGGACTTGCAACCATTGTCACGGTCACATCAGGCTTTAACATTACCACGGTCACGAAAGGCTTTGCAACCATTGTCACAGTCATATCAGCCTTTAACATTACCACAGTTATAACTGGCCTTGCAACCATTGTCACAGTCACATCAGGCTTTAACATTACCACAGTCATGACAGGCCTTGCAACCATTGTCACGGTCATATCAGCCTTTAACATTACCAGGGTTATGACCCGAGGGGTTCACTATATACAAAATTTGAAGGGGGTCCTAGGCCGAACCCTCAGATATCAATATATTCCCATACCAATCTGTCAAATTTCAATGTTTTTCCCATACCAACCAAAATAACGCCCAAAAGACATAACATTACAAATGTCAAAATATAAGACCAATACCATACCGAATGTCCAAATATACATAGGACCAATGCCATACGGAATGTCCAAATATACATAGGACCAATGACATACCAAATATCCAGATATAAGACCAAGGCCATTCAAATGTCACAGTTAAGCAGTTATTTTAACACCATTAACAAGGTGGGCTGTGCCAATAATCACAGCCAATGGGAGCTATACATATTATTAAGATACTAACATTCTTTTTAGGTAACCATGCATCAACAAGAATTGCCTCCAGATATTCCAGATGCCAATCCGCCGACGCTATCCCCACATATCAATCCGGCAACTGCAAGACCAAGTACAAGTGAAGAGCCAGTAGAAAACGATGTTTCAACATCACGTGCTACAAACGCGCATAGTAGAGGTGTGAATTTTTAATCGATCATCGATTAATTGATCGACACGCATTTAATCGAATAAGATTCTTATTACTCAATTAACTGATTCTCAAAAAGTTAATCTTCAATATCCCGCCGCGGGTAAGCTTACGTGACGTCACTGACTGATTGAGCAGTGAATGTCAGGTTGCCACGCCAAGCTCAAACTACCAAACAATTACCCTAAGACTGACGATTACCTGTGACCTTTGTTGTTTTTGAGTTTAATACTAATCCAATACATCCCATTGGTTTATTCAGTAGAAGTATGCGATCAAATTCAAGGTGAATAGTGGTGTATAATTTGAATGCAACCGTCCCAATTTTATTCAGTTCAGAAGCGGTTGAAAAATGGCGACAACACCAGGAAAAAGAAGTTATGTATGGAAATATTTCAACAAAGAAGACAATGATCGCATCAAATGTGTGCTCTGCAATACTAAATACAAATATTCAAATAGTACATCTACTCTAAGCTACCACTTGTCAAATGCACACGGGGAAACTCCGAAAATAAATACTCCGAAAATAAATACTCCGACGTCACCAATAACTTCATTTCTAGTCAGAAAGTCGGGACCCGTTTCTATTGTATTCTATCTTTTATTGTAAAAATCGTCTGAAATACAGAAATATATACCTTGATACTACCAATACACCTGAATGGGAATTTACAAGGAAAACTTGAGAAAAGGTGAGTGAAAATAACTCTCGAATTATCAAATTATCGCCCACAAGAAAGTTGCCGAAAAATCAAGTTTGTGTCAGATATCCATGCATACTTTATCAGTTTATGTTGGGGTCGATTAACCGATGATTAATCGATTAATATGTTTCGTTGATCGATTAAGTAATGTGTCATCGGTGCACACCTCTAGCGCATAGTATAGAAAATCTGATAAATAAACCATATGTTAACAGAGACCATGCGAATACTATGCCCCAATCACGAATTAATAGTGCCTTTCACCCATATGTTCATTATGTAAACCCAGAAATAAGGCAGTGGAGTCAACCAACTGTGCCAGCACCACAATATCCATTCATAATGAATTCACAATATAATATGGTGCCTAATTATATGCCAATATATTTAGCACCATATATACCACATAACTTTCAATCGCATTTTCAACCAACTGGAACCCCTCAATATATCGCCAAATCATCAACGACTGATACCTCAATCAGTGCCCACCTTTGCAGAGAGATATCAAAATAACATGACCAACCTTGGGGAAGGTCAGTTTATTCCAGGTGAGTCCAGTAGACCCATCGATGCTCATATCACAAGGGGATTTTATTGTTTATTTGATGTTTACTTTTTGTTTCACTTTTGCTAAAATAATGTCAATTAAGTTTTGTAATTAGAGATGTACTCATTAACTCAGCAATTAGATTTAGGTCATTAAAATATTCTCAGACTTCTTGCTAAATATCTATTTAAATTCAAGTGGTCATTTGTATTATAGTAAGTTTTATGTAATCAGAAATACGAATGTATAATTTGTCACATGGTGTCTGGGAAACCAGCTGACTTGTATTGTTGGGCTGAGTTTCGGCCTAGCTTTCAAAATTATAACATGGAAATAAAGACCTCTCACCAAATTCTAAATTAAGAGTAAGTAATTAATTAACAAGGAAGAACAATGAAAAAATATATAGACAGAAAACACATATAAAAACGCCCCGTCATATTTGGTGGAGCTGCGGTTGTCGATCCTTGGAACTTTTAGGAAATTAAATAGGATTCTAAAGACTTGAAATCTAAGAAGGATGAAGACAAAGGATTTCTGGAAATTTTGGACACTTTATAGCCCTGGAATGAAGTCGATATTTGGAAGAAGAACAAAATTCAAGAATCATTAAACACTATATTTAGACTAGTACTTTCGACCTATCGTCGGATATGTTTGCCTGATTTTTGGAATTTAAGACAGAAAATATGAGAGTTACAAGAGGAGACAATGGATTGTTTAAACTTTTAAATGGATTTAAAGCTACAATCAACATAGATTCAATATTTGGAAATATTTAAGAAGAAGAATGAAATCATCAATGAAGAAGAACTTGTTCCAAAGTGAAAAATGGAGATATCTACTAAAATCTAAGAACTTAACCAGAAGCTAATGTACTGAACTCTTATGCAGTTTCAATTCGAAATTAATAATACGACAGAAGCGGAGATGGGAGCCCAGAAGAGCATGATGATGATGAACTGATGTTACTTCAATTATTTACAAGCGGCTTGGAATTTTTATGGTATGTTTGTTGTGTTGCGGCTATTTGTACAATGCTGCTGATGTAATTTTGATAAAGAATATTCTACAATGATGCAATGTTGGAACTGATGAGCGCTACCCTTGTATATCGATGAAGTGTTTACTGCTGTTGTGTTGATCCTGTGTTCCAACCTTCGTAATGATGTATCCACGCTATGGGATAGAGAGAATTTGACAATCAAGCCTTGGAAGATGCCATGCAGAAATTGTGATTTACAGAAATATGGAAAGTGATGATGTCATTTGGTGGGTGAGTAAAGGCAAACTTTTTATATCTGAGGTGCAAGTTAAGACAGAGTATCATTGTGGCTTAAATTTTAGTCGTGGAAAGTTGTAAATGTCTAAAGTAATATGAGTATAAAACAAAGAAATCATAAAAATAGCAAAATCTATATCATATAAAAAAATGGAGCAAGTTGGTCAAGTAGAATAAGAGATAGTTTGAAAATTTAAGGTTTATATAATTGAAAAGGATGAGTCTTTGTAAAGTCTATCAGTTAAAGTGTAAGTGAAAAAGAATTAATTTTGTAAAAGGAAAATAGCATGTCATTTGATAATATATGTACAAGAGTATGATACAGATGAAGTAAGTGAATTAAGTAAAGGCTATTGTGAAAATATAAGTAATTAAAGGATATAAATTGAGAATATAAGTAAGTAAAGTGAGAATATAAGTAAGTAAAGTGAGAATATAAGTATTGTAAAGTGAAAATATAAGTAAGTGAAAGGATATTAATGAAGATATAGTAAAGGTATTTAAAGTGATTAAAGTGTATCAAGGACAATCAATTAGAAAGGAAAGTGTCCCGTTCCCATTCAAGAGGAATAAAAATACAGGTCTACTTAGTGTACAGGTAGATCTGCTGATCTCAGGAAGATTAAACCTTAATGAAAAGGTTAATCTAGGATGACGTGCGACCTAGTCTCAGTTACCTTATGGCTTGAACCCCACAGTACAAAATCAGGTGTAAGACGTTACTATTTGTTTATGTATTTGTGTATAGCCAGTGTCATAACGTATAATTAAAGGGGCAGGTAGTGGCTTACGAATACGGCAACCCCGCCTTGTTGACCTATGTACAGTAAGGTAAGTCCAAGTTTTGACATTAAGCACGTAGTACACATAGTTGTCAGTAGAAGAGTTAGTTAGTAAAGTGAATTAAGTGAAATAAACCAAGTGAAATCCTAATGAAAGGATAAGAGATAGTCCAAGTGAAATTCTAATGAAAGGATAAGAGATAGTCCAAGTGAAATCCTAATGAAAGGATAAGATAGTGAGCCAACAATAAAAAGTGTCGCAGTTGCACGGCCAACCCTGCTGATATTTTAAGTCATAACCTAATACATTGTATAGTGTTAAGATCATTTTCTAATATTTAGTATAATGCCTTCTGGTATATATAGATACTGGGTGCAAAATACTTCCTGGGAGATAGACACTAAATGGGATTGCGGGAAAATGATAATTCAAAATTATATAATTGTTTTAACTTAATTAATTGCAAGAGATCACTTACTTATATCATAATTATTGAGATGTGAGTTTCACTTTATTATAATGTTCCAGACAAAGGTCATATTATGGTTTATGTAAAGTTTGCACAGACAATTATGTGGTGCATCATTAGCAGTGTTTTTAAACAAATGTAGAAGAAGTGTAGGTTTTAATGCAAGTTATTTTTTATATCACAGTGATTTTCATGTATTTCAAAACTGTCACAGAATGATGTAATTTTATGTTTTTAATTGGAAATGTTTAATACATTAATTGATTTTTCAAAGGTATAGTTTAGTGTAACTAAGGTAGAGAACGACAAGAGGTGCAAAAAGCAAACTACATTTAGAGTGCATCTGTCATTAGAGGGTAATAAATAGAAAAGATATAAATACCATGTCAAAGAATTTCAAATAAGTTTAAAGAGTTTAAGTATGTATTGTGATCATGTGTATTTTGTAAACAACATGAAGGTGAAATAGACATAGTATATTTATCATAAATGAGGTACAGGTTTTTGTGTATCTAGCTATGTAAAGAAATTTGTTCCATGTCATTAAATATGTTTATCAACACAAGAGTATAATGAATGCTTCTTGCTTGAAATGCCTTCAATGTTTGGCAAGGAATGAAGTGGAATGGTGCCAAAAATGTGGTATCAAATGATGCTACTAGATATAGGCTAAGATTGTGAGACTTGGGCCCTGGTCCTAACATTTTTGTAGAAAGAACTGATTATTATCTTAATTGATTGTATGACGTAGAAGTGTGCATGTGGATTGTTATAAACAGATGAAGTTAGATTTTTAGGTCTGTTAATTAGAATAAGAGATGCAGAAACAAATAGGATAAATAGGTGCAAATTGCAAACAGTATTTATAAACAGATAGAAAATGATTATTTTAAATGTAAAAGCCACAATGGTAATTAACCTGTCTAATGTTAATTGTTTTGCATATCAGAGAAAAAGGTTGTCTTACTCAGACTCACAAGTTGTCTACATATAAAAAAAATCAAGAATGATATTCAAGTGCATATTATCCAGAAGAATATAATGACATAAATTGTGAAATATGAAAGACATGTGAATGAAAAGTAAATATGATATTGTGAATTGAATGACAACCCAAAGAAAGACTTGAACTATTAAAGAATAACTTCAAGTATGCTGACCAGGAATTCAAGACTAAAAACATTAACTTTTGTATCAAGTGAGATTCAGACTTTAATATTTCATTTTAACGTGGGGATTTTATTGAGAATGCGGGACGCATTCTTTGGAGGAGGAGCAAATATCACGAGGGGATTTTATTGTTTATTTGATGTTTACTTTTTGTTTCACTTTTGCTAAAATAGTGTCAATTAAGTTTTGTAATTAGAGATGTACTCATTAACTCAGCAATTAGATTTAGGTCATTAAAATATTCTCAGACTTCTTGCTAAATATCTGTTTAAATTCAAGTGGTCATTTGTATTATAGTAAGTTTTATGTAATCAGAAATATGAATGTATAATTTGTCACATGGTGTCTGGGAAACCAGCTGACTTGTATTGTTGGGCTGAGTTTCGGCCTAGCTTTCAAAATTATAACATGGAAATAAAGACCTCTCACCAAATTCTAAATTAAGAGTTAGTAATTAATTAACAAGAGAGAACAATGAATAAAATATATGTACAGAAAACATATAAAAACGCCCCGTCATACTCACATAGATTCCAAAACAAGGCAAAAAACTAAAAGTAAAGAATATGTAGACCTCACAATTTTACTACCAAAGACAAAATATAATGACAATGAAAACCACCAATTTCTGCCTAAAACTCTAGAAAATAGGGAGATAGGATGGGTTGATAACCCTAAATTTAAGAAAACAATCAAATTCACAAACCAATAGGTGGAAGCCTTTAACATTTTTGGAACAGTGTATTCTAGATTCTACCCTTCAGAGGCACCAGGCTTATTTCAATATAGCAATCTCATTTTGGAACTAAGCCAAATGAAAACTGAGAATTGGGGATATTATTCTTAAAAGCATGAAGGAACTCAATATGACATGGGATAAGAGGGATTTGGTATTGTATACCCAAGTAACAACATCAAAAATGTGGGTTAACCAAAAACAAAACACCAGTTCTAACAATCAAAAATCTGGGATTTGCAGGGCATTCAATAGAACAAGTGTTTTTTGTGGAGGAAAATGTAAATTTAGACACTCCTGTTCCGCTTGTCTCAGATCAAATCATAACCGCACAGCATGCTTCTCTAAAAAAGATAAAGATAAACCAAAGGAAAAGGGTAATAACCCCAGTTAAATGTAATGAACTTGAAAAAGTTTTAGTGGTATATGATCAAGAATTGACTGTTTATCTCGTTAATGGTTTCAAATATGGGTTCAAAATCAATTTCATCAGCTATACAGAGGTATAAAATCTGCATTAGAAATGCCAGTTGAAACTAAAGGAAAAATCACAGAAGAAGTTGATTTAGAAAGAATAGCGGGCCCTTTTAAAGAGAAATCTTTAAAAACCTAATCATATCACCTGTAGGCATAGTTCCAAAAAAGCCAATTGGTAAATACAGATTCATTCTTCATTTATCTCATCCAAATAATAATTCCATAAACTCGAATATTCCCAAAATGCAAACGAAAAGTTGAAAAACAAGGGTATCTCGCCAAAACAGATATAAAAAATGCTTTCAGAATCATACCGATTCGTGAAGATTATCATTATTTGTTGGGAATGAAATTAGGCGATGTATATTATTATGATCGAGTTTTGCCAATGGGTCTGTCAGAGTCGTGTAAATTATTTGAGACTTTAAGCACCTCATTACAACGGGTAGCTAATAGAGCATTCCCTGTTCGCAGGTTTTACTGTAGAATAAATAAATAAAGAACTTACAGTACAGGGGTAGGCGGAGGTTATTGCTGGCAACGTTAGTAGGTAAGATTTGGAGGTTTATCGGCAGTCAATACAATGGAAGAAGCAGTTGTCAACTGAGAAAGTTTATTGATAAGGTTAGTAAGACCCATTTAGTCTTGGTGAGTATATACTGATCAAGGATATTCTCCTTTCAGTGGGATGGCTGTTCGTGTGTGGATCGTGGGTACTTCCCACATCACAAGATTGAAGAGCTTTGTTGAAGACAACCCTTGGGACTTTAAAAATTCCCCTGGATTTGAGGAAGTATATACAGAACGCAGCGGAGGGACTTCAGAGCAATTAAAAACAAAAGTTAAATCAGAAGTAGAGCAAGGATTCGTAAGTTGTTTTATCCAAGGTGGTGGTAATGACATTAGCGTTAAAACAGCCGATATGGAGGGGAACCTGGAAGATATCAGCCAGGGGCTATGGTCTCTTGCAACAGAATGTACCAAACATATGGGACCAAATGGTAAGGTGTTAATAGGAAAATTTATTCATCGCACCCCTCCATGAAGTACCCGAAAGGGATCAAAACAGAAAAGCATGCCAGAAGGCATAATTTAGTGACTGATAGGGTAAATGTGTTATTGAGTACAAAATCAACTGAAGACATTATATATATATTATCGGACAAGAGGAGTGGAGCAGTCCATAGCTGAGAAGCTTAGAGACGAGGTACATTTTAAACACTCATTCATGAGGGTTTACAGAGATGATGTAATGGATGGCCTGTTTCTAGGCATAGGGCGGGCTGTTCATAGTTAAACATGTAAGTAATGAATATTAATAATATCATTTAATGAACACTTATAACAATATGCAGTATCAACCATCAAGCAAGGCAAGGAAGGGAAATAGAGGTAACTAAGTCACGGGTAAATACCCATAATGAGGAAAAGTTATTGAGGTGGATTTGTGGTATATTAAAAAAATATACTAAAGTCACCAGAATAATATCAGGTATGTAAAGCATTAAGGATAAATAAAATAAAAAATAAATAAAAATAAATAGGTTAACAAAATAAAAAAGTTTGCAGTACACACACAGTTCAATACATACAATCATGAAATGATAATAGGTTAAAAGGTTGACAACTTTTTAGGTCAGGGAAGAATAGGGCAAGACATTCCCAGATGCACATCATGTTGTAATTGCCAATCAAAGAGCGGGAATATACAGGAGTGAAAGTGAGATTCAGTCCCCGCCCAAGGGGATACCAGGGCAAGGGAACGTGTCTACAGCACCCCTTTTCAGGGTCACCAGAATGAAATCACTCAAGATAATAGAAATGTGGCAATGGGACAAACTCAAGTAGAACAGGACATTAACAAAACAAAGGTTAATCAAGGTACTGGTAGTGTTATTGATACAGTCCCCCTGGTTGACACCTCAAATGCTCAGTTAGACTTCATAGAAGATTCCTTAAAGGAAAAAATTTGGGACAACAAATTCATAGAATTGTCTAAACTCAAGAACCTGCATTGACCTTTCTATTACAAACAAGCCTTTTCTCGTTAGGGAATTGGTTGTTTCTGACCCTATTGGTAATACTGACCACTCTACTATTTTGACCTCAGTAAGAGACACAAATTAAAGAAAACTATTTGGAAATATGACAAGGCCGATATTGGGGGTACAAATTCCAACATTCGTAATTTTGACCTGACTGACCTATTTAATCAGAGTAATAGAGATATTAATGTTACAACTGAAAGCTTTTCATGTCAAATTTTTGACATATTTTGATCAAAGACACGAAAAAATCTAAGACTGATGTTCAAAATTTTAAGAAAGGATGTGCCTTATTATGTCTATAGTCTTTTTGACTAGATGAGTAGATGATAAACGTATACAGCACATCTCCTAATAAAGCTTTACCTACATGTGTGTGGAACAATTGACCGCAAGCATTTTTTTAAATTAATTGGCTGAGTAGGAACAGTATCCAATCAAATACTTTAACCATCAATTTGAAACACCAATCAAACCAGTAGATTCTAGCATCTATGATTACTGTTATTAATCCTCTAATGTAACTTAAACTACCTAGAATGCCTATGGCGCTTGGTAGTAGTTTGTGTATTTTTTTGATTATGAAGGAAATAAATAATATGTTAAAAAAATAGAATTGTCTAAATTGATAGAAAAGGATAACAGTGATGACGAGGTGTCAAGTAGGGTGACGGAGGTGGTGTATAAAGGGGGTCAGAGAGTACATGTTTATGGGAAAGCTAAGACTCGGAAGTATTTGAACTATGAGGAATGGCAGAAAGCGTTTCTGATATTTGTTAAGGTCTATACCCATAAACAGCCCGAGGAAGCGAGTGACTTGGCCCGATATATGTCACAAATACACAAGCTAAAATTAAAATCTCGAAATTGGGGCAAATACGACAGGCTTTTAAGAAAAAGCAAGGAAAAAAGGGAAAAGTCCTGGGCCTGTTGGGATCAAGTTTTTTACGTTTGCTTGAATCTTCCCAAGGGCGATTTCAGGAAATCCGAGGGTTTTAAGGGAAAGAAATTCGGGGACAAAGGTAAGAAGGAAGAACGCTATTCGGCCAAGTCAGAGATTACTTCTGCAGAAAGATCAAAGGTCAAAGCTATGCCATTCATTCCGAGAGGTTTATGTTGGAAATATCATAAGGGAGAACAGTGTGAGGGGGGGGGAGGTTGCGTGGGTAGCCATTCTTGTTGTTCACATTAATTTGCTACTCACCCAGCAATTCATTGCTCAGACCCTTAAAACAGCTTTTAAACCAAGGCAACAAAAAAAGTGATTAGAATCGAAACTCGGGATTGACATAAAATATGGGGATGAGGGCGCTAGGTCGAATAATAAAAAAACCATTGATGACAAAATGGAAGTTGAGCATTTTCAACCAGAGATAGATCCGTTCAACCAAAGTCAGTCACCTCTATCACCCTATTTAGACAAAAAGGTGGTTTCAAATCAGAGAAAAGACTTAGTTAGTGAGCGGAACATTTTAGAACCACCCGGCATGAGCGATATCTGTTAAACCAAAGGGGAGGGGCAGGTAAAAGAATGGGAAATGGAGGCTGTTGGGCTCAGAAAGGATGTAATCCAGACCCCTGTCAAAAAAGAGAAGTTGTCAGAATATTTGGAAGGGTATGAGGAAGACTTGGTTTTTCAGATTCATCAGGGTTTCACAGAGGGTTTCAAAATTCCATTTGAGGGTGAAGTTTTGGACACAGAACCCAAAAATTTAAGATCAGCTGACACATTAAAAAACCAACTTCGGGAAAAAAATCAGAAAGACTTAAAGGATGGAAAGATTGCAGGGCCATTTTGTAAAAAGCCCGAGGGTTTACATATTTCTCCTATAGGTTTGGTTCCAAAAAAAGACACCTGCAAAATTTAGGAAGATAATCCATTTGTCCGCCCCTGAAGGAAAGTCAATCAATGAAGGATTTGAGAAAGAATTGGCAACGGTACAGTACCATTCTATTCAAAATGGTGTCCATATTATTAAAAGGTCGGGGAAACCGTTTTTCTAGCCAAGACGGACATTAAGTCTGCTTTTGACATAGTGCAAATATGCCCAGAACATCAGTTACTTTTGGGTTTCAAGTTTGATGGTAAATATTATATTTCTTGTACCCTACCTATGGGACTTTCCATTTCGTGCAAATACTTTGAACTGCTAAGTACTGCCATGAATTGGGTTGCATACACATATATTAGACAATTTCTTGTTAATTGAAGAGTCTTACATGCAGTGTCAAACAAGTCTCAAGCTTTTCGAAGAATTTTGTCAGGAGTGCAGTTTTCCGTTTGAGGTATTCCTCAAACGGTGCATCAGGATATTTGACCAGAGAAAATAAACGTAAATTTAAAAAATTAATAGACCATGCTCAGGCACCTTCACACATAATCAGCACCCTTATATACCATATCAATCCCAAGTTCCTCCTTCCGTCTATCAGCATAGGTCCTCAGCATCACCTTTCATAACCAGCCAGCAGTCTTATTTACCTCAGCATCCACAACTTCAAGGGATACCTCCTGTAGTGCCTTCAGCTAGTTATGGGTCACAACAGCATTGGATCAAAGACAGGATCAAACAACAAACACACTTTTAGGTGTGAGACAAAATCATGGTATGATGGGACAGGGTTTTGGGGGGAACAAATCCAATGCTTGATTCTCAACCTTTGTCTAATGTCATTATGGGATCAGTTTGGGGTCTATTCATCCTAACCCTCCTAAGATAGACATGTCCTCATCAGTTGGGATAACTGTGACACATTCATTGAAGCAAAGAATTTGGCATCATGAGTTCATTGAGTTGAGTAAGTTATTGCAAGACAACAATGATAGTGATGAAGATAATGATGTGAAGGTCACAATGGTATATGGGGAAGGTAAACATGTTTATATGGATTGGTTGAAAGCTTTTTTGATATTCACAAAAATTTACTTGTCAGTCTACCCAACAGAGGCAGGTGAATTGACACCATATATTGCCCTTATACAGTCACTAAAAACAGAGGGAAGGATGAATCAGCGGTGTTCTTGGGGGGGGGGGTTCTTGACCAAGTTAGCTATCATAAGTCACTCAACCTGCCCAAGGGCTGTTTTGATACAGAAACCCAGAAAACCTCTAAAAAGAAATGGAACTACAAAAGTAATTCTGGTCAAAAGGGCTCGGGTGATTGGAGCGTGACTAAGGTGGATTGTAAGAAGGAAGACACAGATAAAGAGGAAGAGTTAGTGAAGCCTGTCACCTTTGTATCGGAAGGGCACTGTTTCAACTATCACAAAGGGGTATATTGTGCTGGAGGGATGCAATGTAAGGGCAGTCATTTATGCCCTGCATGTAAAAAAAACACTCTGCCTTGCATTGCGTAGAAGCTATGAAGAATCCCTTTCGTGGTAGAGGTTTGGGAAAAGGAAAAGGGAAAGCATAGTAGTGCCGAGGAAAAAAATGATAAGTTGGAGGAGGAATTGTCTATCGGAGAGTGTGACAGGGACAACCATCACCTCACTCGTGGTTTTTCTCCTCCGCTCATAGAAACAACAAAGATTTGTGATTATCCTATAGTTACGCCAGTCTTAATCTTTAATTTGTTGCCTTATTTGAAAGATTATGACACTGAAATAGTAGACCAATTGAGAAAGGGTTTTAAAGAGGGTTTCATTATTCTTTTTTCTGGACATCTCCCGTGAAAAGATCCCAAAAATTTGAAATCCGCTTTTACTCATTGTGATATTTTGAAAGATAAGTTAAACAAGGAAGTAGAACAAGGTATTTTGTTGGGTCCTTTTCGTGATCGTCCATAAGGCTTAGTAGTCTCACCAGTAGGTCTGGTGCCCAAGAAAATGCCAGGTGGGTTTCAGAGGATACACCATTTGTCTGCTCCAGATGGGTCATCGATTAATGAAGGGATTGAAAAAGAGTTAACGTCAGTACAATATCAAAGGATTCAAGATGTGATGAAGTTGTTAAAATCCCTTTGTAAACCTATTTTCTTACCGAAATGTTACATTAAATCGGCGTTTCAGATTGTACCGATACATCCTGAATCTCGTTATCTTTTAGGCTTCATGTTTCAGAACCAATATTATGTAGACAGTACATTGCCCATGGGATTGTCCATTTCTTGTGTTACTTTTGAAAAACTAAGCACTTCTCTCAATTGGATTAGTACAAATAAATTGGTAATCACTTATATGTTTCATGTTTTAGATGATTTTTTGGTTTAAGAGGAGTCATTAAAACGAGGCCGTTGAACAAGACACAAAAATAACAAAACACTAGATTTTGGAAATTGAACGAGTTCAATTTCAGACTCCAGATCTAGACTTTTTTTAGCCTAGTCATCCAGAATAAGCCAAGTCATCAAAATAAGCTAAGTCATCCAGAAAAAGATGGATGGATGAAAAAGGAAGGAAGGATAGGATAGAATAGGAAGGAACTATAGGATAGAATAGGAAAGAATGATATAATAGAATAGGAAGAAGGGATAGAATAGGAAGGATAAGAAGGAGAGGATACGAAGCAAGGGTAGATAGGAAGGATAGGATAGGATCAGAAAGGAAGGATGGATGCATTTTTCAATATTTTCTTCTCTACTCTTGACTTTCTATCAGGATACCATCAGATCGATTTTTCTTGAAATTTCAAAACGTCATAACTTCCGAACCGGAAGTCGGATCGAAATTTGGTTTGCAGATTCATAATTCATACGTTAAATTTGGCGAATTTTTATTTTGACCTACTTTTCGGACACGCCATAACTTCGGAACCGGAAGTCGAATTGAAATTTGGTTTGCAGATTCGGATTTCTGAGAAGATTCTATTCTTAATTCATAACCCAAACGTTGAATTTGGAGAACTTTTTATTTTGACCTACTTTTCGGACACCATATCTAAAAAGTGGGTCAAAATACTTTCTGACGGCAAAAAGCTAACACTATTAGCGTACTCTTGGCTACATGTATACAAAATTTCGAAGAATATAATTAATCTGTAGTGTCAGAATCGCAAAAATAAGGAAAAACTTTGAATTTGACCTAGATTTTGACCTAGGCATTTTGGTGTCCAAATTTTGAAGCTAGATGGCTTTTGAGGTCCCATTCTTTTAAAAGCTTTCATTATATTTAGCTAAACTCAGTCTATATTTCATATTTTTTACTTCAAAAAAATCTTTTTTCCCATTGACTTAACATGGGCACCAAATTTAGCGATTTTTGAGCTTTCAAAACGCCATAACTTCTGAACCGGAAGTCAGATCTAAATTTGGTTTTCAGATCCGGAATCCTGAGAAAATTTCCTATATGACTAATATCCTAGACATTTGATTCGGAGAACTTTTTTTGGACCTTGTTTTCGGACACTGATATCTCGAAATCGGTTTGAGATATCAAAAAACTAAATCGACCCTAGGTTTTCTACTTTTTTATAAGGAACACAATGAAAAAAAAACGGATCGAAAATATTGAAGGACGACCGAGAAAATCGAAAAAAGTGACAAAATACTGGATTTGACCTAGTTCTTGACCTTTGACCTAGATAAAAATTTGACCCAATTTCCGAGAAACTAGATCTAGGACCTAAATGGACCATATATAAGACTTGACTCAATATCTTCTAGTTAACGAGAAAACTGGGAAAGAAAAATAATAAAGAATAATAATAATAAACAATAATACTGACGAAAACAATAGACTCCAGATTTACATCTGGAGTCTAATTAAAGTGAAGAAAAGAAGTATACAGGATAAAAGGTCTGTGACTATGTGAAGCCTTACAAACAAGAGTACCTATTTCTCCTCATAAATTGGACCAGACACAACCAGTAAGCTGTGTAAACCTCAACCTATTGGTGTGATCTATGGCGTGCACTCGAAGGTGACCTGACCCTTGCTGGCTCCAGCTCTATTACCCTCAATTAGATTTAGGAACATTAAGAGAACATTGAAGGGACATTAAAACCAGGCAGAAACAGCATCACATTTCCAGAAGGCCTTCTATATATATATATATAATCCGTATTACATTTCTTGATGGTCTTCTATCTAAGTATATCAGCTTCATATGGAATATTAGAACATTTTAGACAATGCAAAAAAATTAATACAGATAGTCTATTATCAAAAATAAAAACAGATTTACATACAAGTCATTAAAACGAGGCCGTTGAGCAAGACACAAAAAATTAAAGTGAAGAAAAGAAGTATACAGGATAAAAGGTCTGTGACTATGTGAAGCCTTACAAACAAGAGTACCTATTTCTCCTCATAAATTGGACCAGACACAACCAGTAAGCTGTGTAAACCTCAACCTATTGGTGTGATCTATGGCGTGCACTCGAAGGTGACCTGACCCTTGCTGGCTCCAGCTCTATTACCCTCAATTAGATTTAGGAACATTAAGAGAACATTGAAGGGACATTAAAACCAGGCAGAAACAGCATCACATTTCCAGAAGGCCTTCTATATATATATATATAATCCGTATTACATTTCTTGATGGTCTTCTATCTAAGTATATCAGCTTCATATGGAATATTAGAACATTTTAGACAATGCAAAAAAATTAATACAGATAGTCTATTATCAAAAATAAAAACAGATTTACATATAAGTCATTAAAACGAGGCCGTTGAGCAAGACACAAAAAATTAAAGTGAAGAAAAGAAGTATACAGGATAAAAGGTCTGTGACTATGTGAAGCCTTACAAACAAGAGTACCTATTTCTCCTCATAAATTGGACCAGACACAACCAGTAAGCTGTGTAAACCTCAACCTATTGGTGTGATCTATGGCGTGCACTCGAAGGTGACCTGACCCTTGAAACAGATTTACAAACAAGTCATTAAAACGAGGCCGTTGAACAAGACACAAAAATAACAAAAAATTAAAGTGAAGAAAAGAAGTATACAGGATAAAAGGTCTCAAACAAATGTGATTCTGGTGTGAGTATGTGAAGCCTTACAAACAAGAGTACATTCTCCTCATAAATTGGACCAGACACAACCAGTAAGCTGTGTAAACCTCAACCTATTGGTGTGATCTATGGCGTGCACTCGAAGGTGACCTGACCCTTGCTGGCTCCAGCTCTATTACCCTCAATTAGATTTAGGAACATTAAGAGAACATTAAAGGGACATTAAAACCAGGCAGAAACAGCATCACATTTCCAGAAGGCCTTCTATATATATATATAATCCGTATTACATTTCTTGATGGTCTTCTATCAAGGTATATCAGCTTCATATGGAATATTAGAACATTTTAGACAATGCAAAATAATTAATACAGATAGTCTATTATCAAAAATAAAAACAGATTTACATACAAACTTTACTAAATTTAAATGGGAGGAATCCAAATCAATTGCTTATACTTGGGGATTGGAAGAGGAAGTGAGTATTAACATTTTGTATGATACATAAGCTAATTAATGCATGATAGTTAAGAAATAGTTTTCATGAACGGCCCTAATAGGTGGACCATTAAATATAGTAAGTGGCATGGGTAGTCAGAGCCCATGGAATTTATAGTTATAATGTAATGATGTATACATAGTAAGATAATATTAGTAAATATTGGGGACTGTCATAAAGGGAATGAATTTTTGTTGTTATGTTCTAAATGGGGTAATTCTTAAGGGGGGGGGGGGGATAAACAATATGGCACTTTGGTAATAGGAATAATGGTACACATTTCATTTGCCCAAAGGAGTCGCAGTAGTAATTTAAGTACTATATTGTTTGTGAATTGCAGAATATGGGAAAAGAAAAAGGGTCAGAAGTGAAAAGGCGAAAAAGACAGTGGCAAGAAGCAAAAAAACGTAGAGTATCTTTCAAAAAATCATCTGTTAATTCAGATAGTACCCTGCCATATCCCAGGGAAACAGTTGAAGAGCCAAATGAAGAGCATAATGTAAATTCAGACACAGTCTGGACCAATAAGCCGGATTCCGATGAATCATCAAATGAATCTTCCGATGTGAATACACGAGCTGAATGGGACCCAATGGTATCTCAACATACCCTTCCTTACCAACTCGGGGTCCGCAGTCCCGACCCAGGAGATACCAGGTGGGACTCGGGCTTTGGGGCAGGTGGAGGTACCCGTCGGGCTTCAGTTTCAAAATCAACAAGGGCTGGGTTCAGTAAATCCACAAATAGGGACACAAGTAAGGGGGGCTCAACAACATATGCCCCAATACTGGTGGGAAATGCCAAATAGCCCATTCTACAATAGTTATGGATATATACAACAACAAAGTTTATCTTATGGGGGGTATGGACAATTCATCTCAAAGTCAGCCCAGTACTCAAGGAATGCAGGCTCAAGGACCTTATGGACAAATACAACCATAAGGGGGCTTTCCACCACAAGGTTTAGGACCATATGGGGGTATAGGCCATTAGGACAAGGTCAGAATCAGTTTCAGCCACAAAGCATGCAGCCACAGTTTATTCCACCTCAAGGGACATCTGGGTGGCAACCGGGAGGGACTCCTCAAATGTAGCAAAGTGGACTATGGAATAGTAACCCTATATATAATCATCCTCCCTCATACAATTTGGGACCAGGTTCAGCCATACAAAGGGGTAACAAGCCCTTAAACAAAAACTTTGGAACAATGAGTTTATCGAAATGTCAAAATTATTGGAGGATGATACAAGCAGCGATGAGGCGGCTACAAGGGTAACAGAAGTAGCAGTAAAAATGGGCACCAAATATTTCTTCCCAACAAAAAAGTGAGGAGGTATTTGACTTACCCAGAGTGGCAGAGGGCATTTTTGATTTTTGTGAAAATTAACACACTACAGTACTCTTTGGAGGCTGGGGATCTGGCATCATACATGGCTTTGGTCCATAATTTGAAGATCAAAAAAAGAAATTGGGGGTGTTACGACCACATTTTTAGCAAAGCCATGTCCATGGGGGGTCATGGACCAAATGTTATACTATGAATGCCTTAACCTGCCAAAGGGGGAGATTCAAAGAGAGGACAAACAAGGAAAGAAACCCTGGAGGTGGATAAAAGTAAGAAACAAGGTAATGAGGAGAAGGAGAAATCTTTCAAATCAGGGAAGTCTGTACCCTATATCCCAGGGGGACATTGTTGGAGGTTTCCACAAGGGGCAAGATTGCGATGGGGGAAGTGATTGTAAGGGGAGCCATTATTGCCCTTCATACAAGTCAGAAACACATCCGGCAATTATGTGCCAAGAAGCACTGAAATCTCTATTTCGGCCCAAAAAGTCAGTGTGGTTCCCGAATTACACAAATATATAAGCACTTGTGCCAAAGGGAAAGGACCAAAAGCTGTAATGGAACTTACCAAGAAAAAGCAAACTCTAAGTGCATACCAGTCAAGAAAAACAAAGATTGAGAAAAACAAGATGGAAAGTGAAGCTTCTGATCAACCTAGCATGATTCCCAAGGTAGTAACTCCAGTTACTCAGTCGAGAATTATTCCCAAATTAATAACACCAGTCAATCAGTCTAGCAATATTCCTAAGTTAGTAACACTAGTCAATCAGCCTAACATTATTCCCAAGGTAGTAACACCTAGATCTAGAAGGTTATGATGAGACATTAAAGAATCAAATCATCAGTAGATTTTCGGAAGGTTTTAGGATACCATTTGAAGGTACTTTGCCTAAAGGGGAACCTGGAAACCTCAAATCAGCTTTTACACAAAATAAAGAAATGAAAGATAAGATTGCGAAAGATTTGAATGAAGGTAAACTTATCGGTCCATTTTCGATCAAACCGGCTGGGTTAGTTGTTTCCCTGATAGGCTTGGTACCAAAAAAGGTGCTGGGGAAATTTCGAAAAATTCATCATTTATCGACACACAAAGGGATCTCGATCAATGAGGGCATTGACTCTGAGCTAGCAACTATTCATTACCATAAAGTGCAGGATGCGGTTGAAATTATAAAAGCGTCAAACTACCCTATGGTTTTGGTAAAGACAGGTATGATTCAGATACATCCAGACGATCAACATCTGTTAGGTTGTAAGTTTGAAGGTGAATACTTTTATGGTACAACCCTCCCTATGGGTTTGTCAATTTCTTGTAAAGTTTTTGAAATGGTTAGTACTGCTATAAATTGGATTGCTGTGAATAAGCTGGGTGTGAATAACATGCTACATATCCTAGATGATTTTTTATTTCTTGAAATGTCCTTCCAAGAAGGGGTAAGTAGCCCTGAAGTGTTCAAAAGATTTTGTGCCGAAATGGGTATACCTCTAGCTCCAGAGAAAACCGAAGGTCCTAGTCAGGTTTTATGTTTTATTGGCATAGAACTACATTGCAGAAACAGTTGCATTTGCCAGCAGATAAAATTCAAAAAGCCAGAGATATCATAGCTACATACCAGAGATGCGTGAATTGTACCAAACGAGAAATACTAAGTATAATAGGTTATTTACAATTTTGTGATATTATCATACCTTTAAGGAGAACTTTTTTACGCCGTTTGATCAACCTCACTATGCGTGTTCGGGAGCTTCACAGCAGAGGCAAGACAGGAAAGGCAATAACTTAGTAACCGATGCTTCACAGACGATCAGGTTTGGGGCTGTGTTAGGGAATCAATGGGTACAAGGTATTTGACCGCCCAGTTGGAAAAGATTCAATATTACCATATTAGAGCTTTATCCTATTGTCTTGTCTTTGTTTGGGAGAAGGAATTTGCTAATAAGGCAATCACTGTTAGATCCGATAATGAGGCTGTGTGTGCCATTTTGAACAAAGGTGTTTCCAAAGACAGAATATTGATGGTATTGTTACGAAAATTGGTAATCCAATGTTTAAGTAAGAACATTTTACTTAGGGAAATTCACTTGCCTGGAGTAGACAATGAAGTACATGTAAGTGATAGTTTGTCTCAAAATTTGTTCCAGAAGTTCCGAGAGTTGTTACCAGCGACCGATCTGCAATCACGAAGCATCCCAAATGATTTGAAACCAGCAAATTGGATAATACATTTAGAGGCTTAGTTAACAATGCAAAAGCTAAAGGAACTCAAGTGTTATACCAACGTGTTTGGGAAAAATTGGTAGACTTTGGACAGTTGATGGAAGTTGATATATTCCCATTAACACATGCTCATTTGAAACATTTTATTAGTTATCTCCTAATATACAAGGTTATGCCCCTTCAACAATTAGGACCTTTGTGTCTGCAGTTGACTATTTTCACAAGGTTAATGGGGTTACAGACCCTTCAAAACATTTTGATATACAAGAAGGCTTAAAAGGGCTACAGGCATTGAAAGGTGTAGCAGATTGCCAACAACCTATTACCTTACATTTATTAAAGAGTATGTGCAAAAAATTATCTGGAGTTAAAGCAGTAATAAGATTCTTCTCTAGAAGGCTTGTTTAAAGTTATGTTTACCTTGGCTTTTTATTGGATGCTTAGAATTGGCAAAATGTGCGGGAATGGACCACATAACTTATCTATTAACAGTATTCAATCATTGACTAAGGAATATTTGGTGGTTCGTTTCCAATCTTTCAAACACAGCCAACGCCCATGCAGTGTCCAAATTTGTAAAGGGACAGTGAGCCAAGTTTGCCCGCTAAGAGCATTACTACAGTATATTCACACCAGGGACTGGCAGAATGACCCACTTTTTGTTAAAAATGGGGAACCAATTTCAGAGGAAAGGTTTCGGTCAGTCCTTAGAGAGGTGCTGTTACTTGCAGGGGTTAAACAGAGAATTATAACCTCTCACAGTTTCCGAATAGAAGGTGCAACTCATTATACTCAAATGGGTCTATCAGATTTACAAATTATGAAACTGGGATGGTGGAAATCATCATCAGCATTTCTTAAATATGTAAGGTAAATCTTTGTGGAGGCTGAAATCATTATAAATGCTGCAAGTAGGGGTATGTGATAGTTTGGATGTTGCTTTGGCATTGCTGTGATAGCTAATTTTTGTGATTAGTGGATGATATCATGTGATAGTGCAATTTAAGTATAGATATTTTGGGAAGTAATATTGTTTAAGTCGTACAGAGTATAAGAAATGGGACTCCTGTCCTTCTGAACAGAGAGAAGATGGGAGGAGAGACCCCCTATATTTTTGTTTGGAGGGGGAGGGGTTCTGTTTTGTATGCTAGTTTTGTTATTTCATGTAACGTATCGGCGATATATTTTATATAAAGTAAGTATCGTTAGTCTTGAGAGAAAGTTTTTTAAAAAAAAAAAATGGAACTTCGATCCTTCGGGATGGGGAGAGGAGGGAGGAGATACCCTCTATCTCTTTATCTTGAAGGAGAGGGGTATGGTTTGTCAGGAAGTTTTGTTAGTAGTTGAGTGATTGGAGCGCTGAAATACTTCTTTTTCGGTCAAGACTTGTAAATTGTTCATCGAGTGAATGTTTTTTCGACCCATTTCCAATATGGCGGTTTGCTAGGAGCGAGATACGCAACGAACAAGAATGATTTAGGTTCAGACAACCTCCGGAGATTCACGGAAATGTCCGAGCAGAAAACGCCATATTAAATGTTAAGGTTCAAATTGTATTCTATTCAAATTATATCACTGTTAAACTATATATCTGCTTTAAATTCAGTTTAAATTTTAAATTTCAGTTTGGTAGGCAATCTAGCAATCTTTGAGGGTAGATCTTCTAATATGAATGAAAAAACTTCAAAGGTATTGTTCGTAGGCCATTCTTATATAGATAGATTAGAGACATTGGTGGAAAAATCAATTTCAGAACAAAAGATGGAAAAGGTTAGAAAAGAAACACCTAGGCCTAAGAATAAGATGGAATCTCTCGAAAAGAAAAAAAGCTCAAATGGATTTTGGTACCTCCGAGGGCCAGATGTACTTTTCTGAGTAAGGGCACAGTTGAAAAGATGTCAAAAATTATGAGTGACACTAGTATACCGATGAGGCATTTCGATTGTGGATTTATGCAAATCGGGTGGAATGACATTTCAGAACTTTCCAAAAAATTAGAAATTTCCATTGAACAAGAGAGTGAGATGATGGTCAATAAAATATGGGAGTTGGCTCTTAAGTGCAAGAGGCATCTTGTCAGAGATGGTAAAATGATGATAGGAAAATTGATTACAAGAGATTTGGCCCCAAAACATTTGAAACAATTTATGAAAAATGAAACAGTTAAAAATCTGCAATAGTATTATACAATCATGAAGTTAATAGGAAATTAAACGAGCGGTCAAAGAGAGACAAACGAATAATATTTTGAAGAACGAGAGGTATAGAAGTAGACATTAAACAGAAATTAAAGGATGGGACACACCTAAAACAGGGGCCCATGGTTGAATGGGGTAAGCAGTTCCAAAATGCAGTCAACACAGCTCTAGGGATGAAGAGGAAGTGTCTACAAAGTAATAATGTATGTTGTAAATTACAGGCTAGGTTTGAGTCAAAAATGGGTAACATGATAGTTATTCAGGCCTAATATCATAAATATAGATACATAAGAAAATAAATAAATAACAACAAATTAAATAAAATAAATTAATATAAAACAATAGTCCATAGTTTCGGTTGGTTTGCTTTCCAATATAGAGTCTAGTTTAGTTGGAGTAGGTTTTATCTTTGGAAGCTTCTTAGAAATATGGGTTTGCTATAGTTAAATAGAAAATCTAGAACTTTCATGCATATAGATTTCCCTAGTGGGTAAAACAGGAAACTAGTCATATATATAGTTTATATATATATAAAGAAAATAAATAAACAAAAAGTGGAATATATATGTAAGATGTAGTTAACGCTATAGCCAAGCGTAGTAAGGTAAGTAATGTTCTTAATGTAGAAATGCCTTACCTTGTAAGCCATTTTTATTACAAATTCTTACGTAGTCTAGACTTGCGTGAATATTATATTCATAGAGTAGTTCATGGCAATTATAGGCTTTGATCTAAGTAGTGCAAGTCTTTATGGAAGTTTGTGTCAGTTCCTAGTAGTGAGAGGACTGTACTTCGACCCATGTCCCAATTGTCATGGTAACTGTAAGCCAGGAGTGCTTGCTTTTGCTCAAGGAGTCGCTTAGTAGTATAGGGGTTGCATGTACAGTTTTCTCTTTTATATGTTATAGAATATAGCCAAAGAAAAGAAAGTGAACACAAAAAAGACAGTAAAATCTAAAGAACCTAAGGACTCAAAAGCAAAGAGATTAGAAGTTCTTCGATTGAAGAATAAGGTGCTAAAGCTAAGGATCATGAAACAAATCAAAAAACTTAAGGAAAATAAACAATCTTTACAAAAGCAAACCAAAGAAAAACAAGCATGTATAATAAGTGGTAAAAAAAGACAATCAAAACTGAAGAAAACAAAGCGGCCAAGTATTGTAACTGAAGTATAAGGGAATTTCCCAGTGGCAAAAGGAGCCGACTCACTCGAAGACGAGTCGGAAAGCACATGGATATATAACTTACCATCACCAAATCAGGGCTTGGGGGCAGGGGGCGCGCCTTTAACTTCGCCTATAACAATCCTGGTCAATCCTGGTCAATATCAATATCCCGGACAGAACTTAAGTAATAATAATTTTCCACAATTGAATATTATGCCTTTAGAAAGTACCTCATCATCTCTAACTGCAGGGATTTCCCAGAAATTAAGAGAGAAAGTTAAAAATAACGAATACATTGATTTGGCAAAATTGGTATCCGACCTGGATAGTGAAGGAGATGATGTCTTCGCTAAGGACCGCAAGATCACGATTAAAGAGGGAAAATTGATAACGAAGCGAAAA